GGCGGATCGGGCTTCGGAGAGGGTGGATTTGACCTGGTCCTGAATGAGGTTGCACTCCCTCTTAGGGGCAAGGTCCGCAGCTTAGGAGTGCTCCTCGACCCGGAGCTTTCATTGGAAGCTCAGGTGACAGCGGTGGCGAGGAGCGCTTTCCTTCAGCTTCGGCTGATTAATCAGCCGCGCTCCTACCTGGAGTACGACTGCCTGGCGACGGTGACACACGCGCTGGTGACTTCCCGCCTTGACTTCTGTAACGCGCTTTACGTGGGGCTTCCCTTGAAGACGGTCCGGATACTTCAATTGGTTCAAAATAGAACTGCCAGGTTGCTGACGGGGACGGGGCGTTATGTTCACATGACTCCAGTCCTCCGTCAGCTTCACTGGCTTCCCATTGAAGTCTGAGCCCAATTCAAGGTGTTGGTGATGACCTATAAAGCCCTAAATGGCTTGGGTCCTGGTTACCTGAAGGAGCACTTACATCCATATATGCCTGGTCGCCCCTTGAGATCTGCGGGAGAGGCCCTTCTCCGGGAACCCTCCATGAAAAAAATTAGGAAGGTAGGTACTCGGAGGAGGGCTTTCTCTGCAGTGGCGCCCAATCTATGGAATGCGCTCCCCAGAGAGGTCCGCCTGGCGCCGTTGTTATTTGTTTTTCCGTGTCAGGTGAAGACCTTTTTATTTAAACGTCATTTTAATTGTTAACAATATTTGCTTATTTATCTGGCCAGGGCGACTTCTTTTATATTGTTATTTATTTTATATTGTTAATTTTATATTGTTATTTTTGTATTTTATTGTGTTTTAAGCCGCCCTGAGGCTTCGGCAAGGGGCGGCATAGAAATGTTTTAATAAATAAATAAATAAATAAATAAACAATGAATACACTGGCACTTGTGCAGCTTGCTTTAAATTCCTTAGATCTTAGATTATTCATTTGTCACTCTATTAATTCTTTCAGGTATTTCTTTTTTCAAACACACCAGATATGATCAGAGTCTTGGAGCCAATATTAAGAATGTATATAAACCAATATTAAAAACATATTAATCCATATTGACTAGAAACCACAATCAACCATATGATGGAAAAGAAAGGTACATTAGTTTTCCAGTGATACACATTTATTCAGCTCCTTCATGCTTCATTCAAACACTTCTTTTAAAAGCCTTTTAAAAAATTAACAAAAACAGTTACTACAAAACAAATATGAACCACCTTGGTATAACATCTGTACTGACTTGGAATGGAAACAGAAGCATCAGTACCTGAGTGGAAACGAAACACATCAAGTCAGCCATAAATCTTTCTTGTTCTTCGATACTCAGTGCTCCAGTAATTGCCTCTGGTACGTGTGCTTGGAAATGTTATGTTGCTATGTACAAAGAAGTGGGAATGAAATCTTAATTCCTCATAAGTAATTCATATGGAAGGCACACTCACTTTCTAGATGTTTCCCTACCTGTTGCAGCTCTTTTGGTAAATGGTCAAAGATTTATTTACAGGCACTCCAGTAGGTTTTGCCAGCAAAACAAATCAAAAGGTCTATTTAGTAGCACTAAAGTTGTTATGGTGACATAATTCAGCATAGCAAAACAAGGAGTTGCTAATCCTAGTTACAGTTTCAACTTTCCTTGGTGAGACAAGAGAGTGCTTAAGCTAATGCATGCTATCATTGACTTCAGTCACTTATATGTCCACCAAATCCTCTCAGGGCTTTGGGCCCAGATCATGTGCAAAAAAAATTAATCCACATGCAACCTTTGCTGTTGAACAGTGAGTTATTGTGTTTGAAGCCAGCTGTGATCATACCATATGGTTTGTCAACCATAAGCAGCATTCACTTCACAACCCGAAAACCAATGGTTTCTCTTCATGGTTTGTTCTGATAACAAATCATAGATTGTTAGGACAGCTGGGTTCAGATCACATGATAACCCTTATTACAACAACACATGGTTTATTGAATACCCACATTCAGACCATACTCCATCCTTAACCATAGGTTATCATGCTGTCTCAAGGGCACATTTTTTCCCCAGTCAATCTTTATTTGCCTTAGCAGGCAACAAAATATTTTGGGCCAGCCCTGTCTAAAGCTGCATTTGTTTGGAAGCAGCTTCTGCAAAATCTTAAACATATTAATTTTCAGATTAATTTTCAAAGATATGAAAACACCAGCAACTTTTCCACTTACACAGTCTCTTGCTAATTAATCCATCTCACCATTATCGCTGATACGATCTGACAGACTGTAAAAGATGGTCTCATTCCCAATCTCAATGTGGTCTTCAACTGGAATTATAAGTGATGTACTAGTTTTGTGCTAGCCTTCTGCATCTCTGTTTACCAAAGAAAGGAATGGCTAAATATGCCAAAATTAAAATGCAGACATGACACAGCCTTAAAATTATGCACCTCTTTATTAACCTTAGATAAATATCCTAATCAGCGACAAACAATATCTGACAGGGATGAAACCTGAACAAATGCATTTATGACAGGGAAACAGTTATGCATAATCTTAGGAACAGACTGATGTGTTACGCTATTTCATATTAATAGTTTAAGATTATGCACTGAAAGTTAACTGAGCAAAATAAAGAATATGGGTTGCATAGAGAAATGATAGAAGCTATGGGATGAAATCTCATGCATGAAAAGAGATGTTCTTCATCATCTACTGTATTAAGCACTGAAAAGGGCACTGTATTCTAGATTAAAGGTCAAACTGAGCAGCATATGAAAAACACCACTCTGTCCTAGGAAACAAATGAGGGGGAAATCCAGTGGCCGTGTTGCTGCTTTATTCAATATGCTACATCTTTTGAAGAAAAATATCCCTGCTCCAATATCCACCCCCCCCAAAAAAAGCAGAAACACTAGGTTGGATCCAGGAGCAGTCTTCCTCAAGAGGAAGGCTTTCTCTTGCTGAAAAGCCATCTACCTGGTTTTGGGGGGCCCTCCTCATCACTGCTTATTGCACTTGGAAGGATCTCCTGAATCTACAATGTAGCATTTTAAGGGAACTGCTGAAAGAAGGATGGGGTGGGGTATTCCACCAGCAGAGTTGATCCAGATTAAATATGAATCCTAGTGACTAATTTTCTTGTTCTGTGGAACAGTCATTTTTAAAATAATAGTATTGGCTTCAACTACAATCATAGCCACAATCAAAATGTGAGATGGGAAAAGCAGTAGGGCCATAATGATTTTCAAAGCATTTAAGTGACCAAAACATTTTATCAATATAACTGAATTAAGGGAGCAATCCTATGCACGGTTAGATAAAGTTCCACAACTTAGTTTCTCCAGCCAGCATAGTCCCAAGAAAATGTATATAGGACTGTACTATAAGGTTGCAATCCCTGTACAAACCAACAGGGGGAAAAGTCCAACTATGCACAGTGGGCTTTATTTCTGAATCAAGGTTTGTGATGTAACCTTTTTCTAATTCTGAGAACCACTAGCACAAAGGTCTGTTTTGAAATGCTCAGATGTAATGCACACACCTCTGAGCTCATGCAGACATACATGCATTTATACACCCTTTGCTCCTATCAGCCAGGCTAATTAAGGTCACAAATCTTACACATATTTTTTAAATTCCTGGCTTTTAAAAAGATCTGTTCACTTTTGTACACCTAAATCATAAAATGTTTACTTATTAATAACTAAACTGAACTGAAGAGGAACATGTAAATAAAACTCAAGGACAGCCTGAGAGTGAAGTCTTTAGTTTCAACCCAATATAGCAAAAGTTTAACATTAACTCTTTAAAATGTCTCATTAGCATGGTATACTTGTCTTGACCTATTTTTATAGCCAGGCCTGACCTATTAATGCTTACCTGAAAATAATTCTTCATAATTCAATGAAACTAAATCAGAAGTAAGTACACAGTCTAGACTAAAATGCCAATGAACTCAGGGTGCTTAACTCCTTGTAAATATAGATAGGATTGGGCCCACCTGCAGAAAACAACCCTAGCTGTGGGTCAGTTGATTGAATCAGCAAAGAGGAATTCAACCTTCTCATAAGGAACAAAACTGAGATACATTAATGAATTGATTAGTTCTGAAAAAAAAACATCTTCTCAACTGATAATGAAATCATCTGCCAGAACATTCCGGACAGATAAAAGGAAGCACTTCATTACACAACACATATTTAATGCACATAATTTATTTCCATAAGATGCAGCGATTTATTTATTGCATTTGTATTCTGCTTTTCCCTCAGGAAGCTCCAGGCAGGATTATAATAGTTTCTTTTTCTTCAACAACTTTATGGCATAGTTTAGGCTGAGCAGCAGTAGGCTACATAAATGTAGTGATGTATCTCTGAAGACCACGTCCTTCACAAGAATGGATGAGGGCTATTCGGTTATTTTTCTTCCCTGCGCTTTTGGGTTTCCCAGAGACGTAAGTGACTAAGGCTAGAAGAAACATATCCACCAGAGCTTTTCTTGCGCATTGAACAACTAACAAAGAAAATAAAACCAAAACATGTACAATCTCGACTCTAGAGGGCCTATCGCTTCAATATAAGCACAACTCGCTGGGCGCACGCGCCTCAATACGGCTAGGCTCATAAGAAGCCTATGGCGCAGGCGCAGGCGCAGGCCCCCGCGAGCAGGAACCTACCGTTCGCGACGCGATGACGTCAGACGCAGCCTTTCTGCGCGAAGCTGCAACGGCGCGATTATTCAAAATGGAGCCTCGGAAGGAGGGGGTTTCTCCCCGACCCCCGTAGCGGGGAGGGAGAAGCCTGTGGATTTGGCAGCGATATCCAGCGAGACGTAGAGCATCCGAACATGCGGTAGTGAAAATAAAGGAATAGAGTGACGCGGCAGGAGTGTGCACGGGTCTCGCCGCCGCCGCGATGGCGACCTGCATCGGCGAGAAGATTGAGGTGCGGAAACGGCCATTAGGCCACTGAGCGGGTAGAGGACTTAACCTTCCTGAGGGGGATTTTGGGCTCAACCATGTCTCAGTTGAGGGGGACAGGCCTTGCTGCTCTTCTAATTGGCCCCGTCCAGCCTGTCTTGACAGATGAGGCGGCGCACGGTGTTGTTGGGCGTAGCCCCGCCCTGCCCGTGATGCACACTGTAAATTTTACACAATGCGCTCTCCTTGCCAGCTTCCCTGCGTAGGATTCCCATTCTTTTCCCTTGGACCAGGACTTTCCTCCCACACAGATGAGAGCTAGGCACCGCCCAGCACGGGTCGGTGTCGCTTTCTTTGGCAGTGAGTCCCACTGTGTTTAAGGGCGTGTGCAGGCAGTCCTTGCCCTAAAATGTCTGAGGGCATAGCCCTCTAACCTAACCTAGTACTCTTCACACCTTGAAAACCCTTGAACTGACTTCTGAGTACACCTGCTTAGGATGGTGCTGTCGAATCTTCTCTACCATGGCTTTTTAACTTTAATGGCTTTCAGCCATTGCATAGCAGAAAGAACTTCAGCAGAAGCTTTTTATATTCTGGTGTTTGTATACTTGTTGACTTACACATTTCAGTATGCCAAATAAAATTCATGTCAAAAATAGGGCTTTGGGGAGGAAAACTTGTATCAGATCTCCTAGCTAAACCGCTGTGTATATGTGCATACTATTGACCTGTCTGATATTGCTCATCAAATCCACACATATATATGGTGCCTTATAGGGGCCAAGTGGCAGTCTTATGAAAATCATTGCTGCTGCAGACTCCATATAGCCTTAAGTCCTGCACTTTAAGCCTGAAGTATTTAAAGTTGTAAAACCATCTACAATTATTTTACTATTCTCTGGATATGTATGAGGTTGAAATATAAATTCTACTGAATTTATAGACCCAGAGAATAGTAGCTAATCTGGGCTACATAACAAGGTATAGCAAGGTTTACCAAGGATGACTTGGATCACACCCCCATCCCGTTTTTTTATGCCCGTATTGGGCTTATTTTCTCTTGTTATGTTTCTCTCCCTGAAAGCAGAGTATGCTTTCTTTGACAGGCATCTGAAAGAAAAGTTGACTGATGCAACAACAGAACCTTCCACAAAAACTAACAGCAAATTTGGAAAAAAAAATTCTAAACTGCTTGCTTGAAGAAATGGCTCTTTTCAAGCCTATGCTGAGGACTTTTTCCCTTTTTTCTATTGTATAATGGAGTGTGTGCAAGAAAAAGATCCTGCGCTGTTACCACAGGATCTTCCTGTGAAAGATCCTGTGGTATTATTGTGGAACAACTGTTTTTCTGTTGTTAATATTAACCTTGGTAAGGCTCATCTGTCTAGTCTGTAATTCTAGAAGCCAGTTGCAGATCTGCCTGGCAGATTCTCATTTAAAATAGGAAATTACTATATTATAACTAGTATATAGTTAATTACCAGTATATAGTAAAATAGTATATAGTAAATCACTGCAATAACTTAGTGGTTTAATATGCCTGTAGAAACCAGTAAGAAAGTTTTGCACCATTGCAAAATTCCACAGCATTGTTATTTTGTTTGCAAAGTCCAGAGAAAAGGGCTACAAGTGGAAACTGGCTGTTGATTGCACTATGGGAAAGCTTTGTTGCATTCAGTATCCTACTGGGTGCCATACTGGGTTTGAAACATCTGATTTCCCAGACTGTGAGAGCACCTTCCTAAGTGTGCATTTATGTAGACTTAGCTCCTGAATTTTATGACCAAATAGGATACTGAGTATTTTGAGTTATGAAATGGTATGCTCACTTCATGTGAGCATATTCCAGTGAAGTTAGTGGGGCTTACTTCTGAATAGACATATTGAATTGTTTTATAATTCCTGTAAACCTTCCTGGGAATAAATGTTACTAAATTCTATGGGCCTATGTGGCTGCAGTCCTGTGCATGTTTACTGTTAAATAAGACCTATTGAACTTAAAGGACTTTCAAAATAGACATGCACAGAATCAAGCAGTAGTACAAAAGTGTGGATGTTGTTGGGCTCCAGTTCTTTGTGTTAATTATGATTTAATGTTATCCTCAGTTTTTTTGGGGGGGGTGGGGAAGATGGAATTTAAAACAAACACATATGCTGAAAGATCTGAAATGGAAAACAACTCTTCAGTGACTCAGGTTTAATATTTAATATTTGAGTTGCTGGTAATAACCTATAAAGCCCTAAAAGGCTTGGGTCCTGGATACATGAAGGAACACCTTCTTCCCTATGTGCCCTCCCGCATCTTGAGATCTGAGGTGAAGGTTCTGCTTCAGGAACCCTCCTTGAAGATTTGGAGGGTGACTACCTGGAGGAGCGCCTTCTCTGAGGTGACACTATGGAATACGCTCCCCAGAGAGGTTCTCCTGTCACTGACGTATTCTCTTCAGCATCACGCAAAAGAAAACCTTTTTATTTTCCTGTCATTTTAACATTTAATTGGTTTTATCTTTGATTTTATCATTAATTATCGGATGCAGTGTGTTGATTGTTGATTTGATTTTGTTTTTTGTAAGCCATCTAGAGATTCTAGTATTAGATGGCATATAAAAACTTTGAATAAATATGAAATTGTTTGGTTTTAAAGCAGTTATACTTTATTTCCTGCCATTTGACTTTCCATTAACAATTCTTTTGGAGGCAGTCTTATAGCCAAATAAGAAAAGTAAAGATATGAGTAACTTGTCTGAAAAAAACCAAATAAACCCTGAATGGGAATATTAGTATTAAAAAAAGTATTTGCAACTGCAGTGGAATTTTGGAAATCTTACCATCACTTTTCGAATATGGCCTTAGGTCTGTTGGTAGTCAATTTTTACTTGCAAGATCATGCACACTGATGCCACTTTCCTACCAAGCAAAATTCTGACAATTGTATGGTGATGCTTTGAAGTGCATCAGCCACAGACTGTTAATAGTGAAGTCATCTCCTTATTTCTTCATATGGCTGTTAGTCAGATTTTTCTGTGCAGAAGTTAGGTATGTGTGTTACAAGATGACTTGGAATGTCTTCTTACTAGATCTTTTGATGTGACAGATGGTTGTGTAGGCCTTGTAACTTAACGTTCTAGGTGTGTGTTCTTGATGTGAATGTGGGATAGCTCTTGTCGGTTTTCCCAAAGTCACTCTAGGGCAGGAGGATTTTAAAGAATTGTTGATAATTTCATTAAGAAAAGGAAGCTTGAGTAAAAGAAATAAACAAGCCCCAAAGAATGAAGAAATATTAATTATATGTTCTGGCTTATACTATATTCAAGTTGCCCTATGCATAACTCTTAAATATTTTCTAACCCACTTTGGTTACTAGAATTTTGTATGAGCTATAATTTAAAGTCTATACAAGTGTAATATAATGGATAAACCCAAGGTACTTCCATAACCCTTCTGCCTCTCCACACAAGGACATAATCTTAATTTTTTTTTTGCAAAATACTCAGTTTTTGTCGGAACCTACAGTTTGTTCAAAATGTGAACAGAATATTTATATTCATATATAAATGCTTATATACTGGGCATGTATCAGCTGTTCCAGATTATCCACGTTTCTTGAAGTGAGGGGAAAGCCTTTGTAGGCAGCCTCTGTAGACCACCCCGTCTGCTCGGAAGCGCATTTCACTCCGCTCAGTGGGGTTTGCCAGAGAGTGGGAACAGGGTTACCGTTTTTGGGGCGGTAGGTTCCGGCGGCAACAGCGGCATTGCCCGCGGGATTCTGCAGTGGGGGGTGGGAGGGGCGTCCGCTTTGGCGTCCTTCGGGAGTATTTCCTTGGCTGCTGCTATGGCAGCGGCTGATGGAAGCTGCGTCTCCCATGGGAGCGGGAGAAAGGGCGGCAAGACTTGCAATCGGCTCGCGCCGTGGGTGGCTGCGGGCTCCACAGTGGGTGCGAGTCCCTGGCAGAATGCCGCAGTGGCTTCTCAGTCTCCTGCTCTCTCCCCTGCCGTGCGACGGCACATCCTCCGCCGGCATGTCCCAGTGCTTGCCCTGGGAGAGCTCCATTCAGGTAAAGCTGGAGCGCTGTTCGCCCCTGCTGAGGAGCGGCTCGTTTCTCTGCGTTTGAGCGTGCGCGGTTTCTGTGAGCAGGCGTGCCTCAAGCCCGGTAAACGGCTAAAAGGTTTCCCCCAGACCTGGGACAGGAGAGGGGGGAAGGATGGGGGCTGACCCGCGCAACGAGGTGCAGGTGGATTAAGCTGAAGCACGTGTTTCCCACACTCTGAAGAAGTCAGGAACTGTCCTAAGTAGCAAGCAGTCCATGCATTTCACGGGCGCTTTTTATCTATTTGCTGCCTTTGCGCTGTCCTAGTTCGCTTTCCTGGGCTCTTATGCCTACACTAGGGCAGAGGAATGGAGCGTTTCCGAGCATACTTTTAGATTGCTTATGGAGCTAATGACCAAGAGTCTCACAGAGACAAAGTTGTGAAAGGAGCGAAAAATGTATAAGGATTGCTAGGGGGCAGTTGGAGTATGTGAAAAAATTGTCCATGGAACAAACAGGATCTATTGTTAATGCAGCTGTTTTGGAAGTGGGAGAGAGAGGCCTGGCAAATTTGCTTGCTTCTTCTTTAACAAACCTACTGCAACAGAAGATAGAAGTAATTATTTTCCCCTATCTGATAATGTATTTCAAATCAGCCTCACAATTTTTGATTTAAATTTTTTTCTTTGATATTTCTTCTTGCTTTGGAGCAGGGATTAAGGTATTTAAATCCCAAGGAAAAAAAGGATTTGAACAGGTAGGATTTTCATACCTCATATCTACAAACATCTACCACATAATGGATAGCTTGAGTTGGACTGATGCTTATCTATGGAAACAATGTGAGATGGTAACAGCAGTAACCCTACCCCTCTCCTTCTTTCTCAGGATTTCAAGGTGGGGAACCTTCTGGGGAAGGGCTCCTTTGCAGGAGTCTACAGAGCAATATCCCTGAAAACAGGCCTAGAAGTGGCTATCAAAATGGTAAGTGGTTATTAAATTGGTGACTTCCATAATTATGAAGCTAGTAGGCAAGGCAAAGTAGTAGTATGCCAAGCTACTGGAGAGAAAGGGATGAGACCTAGCCACACGTCTTCATGCTCAATAAATAAGTTAACATCATGCTGCAGTGCCAGACCGTTCTGTTGCATCTGCTTTGGTCACCAGGTAGTAGTTTACCTGGCAATTTGCATCCCAGGTTGGAGAGACTATTTTCTAACCTCCGTATTGCTCAATCCTTTTCACATATTTAATTGTAAGAAAAGTATTCAGCCCTACTGACACTTGACTTTTGAAAGTCCCAGTGCTGCAAACTACTTACTATAAATGAATCTGAGGGCTTCCCCATAAAAGAGTGCTTAATTTAGGATACATTTCAAGGTCAGGACTGTTCATATACTGAAATAAGAGGGGTTCTTTTGTACACTATAGTAAATGTGTTTGCCTTTTAAAAAACAGAAAGCACCATGGAAAGGGAAACTTATGTGGAGGAAATAGGAGACTTAGCATTTATGGATCTAGGAATCCCCCAGATTCCTTATTTTTCAGAGGTAGTGCGGCCCTATCTAGGACAGGCAATGAGCATATCTCCCAGATTTGGGAAGCACTACCCACAGGGCTTCTGTTTTGTCAGGGTTCAGCATTAGTTTATTGGTCATCATCCAACCTGTCACCGATCTAGGACTTGTACAACCTTTCCTGATTCAGTTATTATAGGGAGATAATGCTGTGTGTCATCAGCATATCAATGACATTTGGCTCCAAATCCTTTAATGTCTGCTTCTGGCAACTTAATGTAGATAATAACACTGGAGATGGAATGGTACCCTGTGGAGTTCCATCCTCTAATGCCAGGGATCCAGGGAATAGTATCTCAGTATTATTCTTTGAAATTAACCCTGCAGGTAAGACTGGAACCACTGTAGCACAGTGTTTCCACTACCTAACTGACAGAGCCAGTCCAGGATACCTTGATAGATGGTATCAGAAGCCAATGAGAAATTGAGTAAAATTAACAGGGTCATACTTCCCCATCCTTCTCCCAGTAAAGTTCATCCATCAGGGCAGCCAAGACTGATTCAGTTCCATAGCCAGGTCAAACCCAAGACTGAAATGCGTCTATGTTTTCATAGAATTTCTTAGGTATACAGAAGAATATTTACTTTCCAATCCTAAACATGCTTACCTGGAGGTATGTGCCATTTCATTTCATGGGATTTCCATTCTAGTAACTCTGCTTGGGATTATGGAGTAACATGTTCAAAGTGACTAATAACTGACAACAGAAAGCAGGCTGTACTTCAAATAATGTCATTAAGGTACACTCTAGTGTTAAACATGAGTGTTTGCTGGTACTATTCTGAACACTTGATCAATTTAGGGGATAATTTTGTGTATATTTAGACAGAAAAGTCCAATAACTTGTGGCATACCTCAGTCAGTCATGCATAGGATTGGACTCTTAAATTGTAAGAGAAAAATATTATTTTTACATGTGGGTATGAGCTTAAAGGGAGAATCTGATTTTTTTTCAGATTGATAAAAAGGCCATGCACAAAGTTGGAATGGTTCAGAGAGTTCAAAACGAAGTGAAGATACATTGTCAACTAAAACATCCTTCTGTACTTGAGGTAAGAATTTATACAAAGAATTTGAAATGTTTGTAACTAGACTTTAATCTATTTTAACAATTATTTTTTCTTTCTTAGCTGTATAACTACTTTGAAGATAGTAACTATGTGTACCTGATATTAGAGATGTGCCATAATGGAGAAATGAGCAGATATTTAAAGAACAGAAAAAACCGTTTCTCTGAAGAAGAAGGTAGGGTTGAAATATGCTTATTTTGCCTCAGCATTTTGAATAATAGATTGGGATGCAGAAAACTATGTCATGGCCATGCAGTGGCAGAGATATAGCCAGGGGACTCCTTTTTCCCTTTGAACAGTGGATTTCCATGTCTGTATACACTGTGTTTGAAAGTAACAGTTGCTTTAAAAACTGGGAAGCTGCTAATTGAAAGAACAATCCCAAAGTTAACTTTGACAAGTGGAGTTCATTGAGAAGTGCTTTAGATCCTGGCATTATAGTTTTGGTGATTGTTAATATGACCTGTAAAAGACATTATGCTGCTATAGGGGTATTAAATGCATTAAGGTTAATGTATGTGAAACTCATTGAAACATGGAAGAGAATAAAGTGCAGAAATATTGATAAACCATGTGAACAGTGTAGGAATCTGATATAAATGAAAAGCTGATTTAAAATAGCCTAGCTATTGATATATGGGGTTTGTATATTGAGCATGTATTAAAAGGGTATTAAACCTTCAATTGATTCAATGCAATTTTGGATGGAAGGGGGCATTCCTGAAAGAGCAGAAACTCAGTAGTAGAAGTAAAGAAGAACAAAGAAATGAAGGAATAAATATTATATAGCCATGGAGGGGTGTACTAATTGTTTTATATATAGTTTTTGGTATCTTGTGTTTTTTCTTTTATTTGTATTATGTATTTTACATTTGTACTCTTTCATAATAGTTTATTTTTAATAAAATTTAAAAATAAAAGGAACAAATAACCCTAACCTTAACCTAAAGTGTTAATGGGGCTCTGAAATAAGTAAACCTGTAACCCTTAAATCAGAAATTATTTCTTGCCTATGTTTTTTTGTTAGCAAATGAGATTACCAGTACTGTGAAAGTCTTGTAGGTGAAGTTAGAGGGAAGTATTACAATAAATTTATTTGCATACCAGAGGTATTTTTAAATGGTATGTAAGTTTTAGTTTGAGGAATAGTTCTGAACTGCAACCCTGGCTGTGTTGCACAGAATTAAGCAGGATTCCAAAGTATCCTGGTTTATCATAAATGAATTCATTCACCTAGTCTCTTTGCTTTTAATTAGTTTGTCCCACTAGCATGACTAATTAAACAAGTCTGGAAAGGTTTGTTTAAGTTACTGTCTGAATTGGGGATGTCATTTCCATTACAAGCCAGTATACATAAACTAAGAACAAACTGGTTTGTGATCCTGGCTTGTAAATGGAGTGACAAACCAGGATCATCTTTTGAGATGGCATGCTAAACAAACTGTTCCTGTTTAGCTGGTCATAATAGCAGGAAAAGCCAAGAGGGCGCAAACATACTGATCACACCAGCATGCAGCTTGTTCGTGATAATCAAGGATTATTTGTTTCCTGCAAATGCAAGCAATCTTTCATTGAATATCTTAGGGCACAATCCTATGCTCATTTTAAGTACCTTTAAATATAAGACATATGCTTGGCAAACAAGGTCAAAGTCATGATAACAAATACCTTTTTAATGCTGGTCCCTTTTTATTCTTTGTAGTTCGGCACTTCATGCATCAGATTATTACAGGAATGCTGTATCTTCACTCTCATGGAATATTACACCGAGACCTCACACTTTCTAATCTCTTACTCACCAACAATATGAACATCAAGATTGCTGATTTTGGACTTGCAACTCAGCTGAAAATGCCTTATGAGAAACATTATACAATGTGTGGGACTCCTAATTACATTTCTCCAGAAATAGCCACAAGAAGTGCACATGGACTTGAATCTGACGTTTGGTCTTTGGGGTGTATGTTTTTTACTCTTCTGGCTGGAAAGCCTCCTTTTGATACTGATACAGTAAAGAACACCTTAAACAAAGTGGTTTTGGCAGATTATGAAATGCCAATGTTTTTGTCAGAAGAAGCTCAAGATCTTATTTGCCAATTACTTCGCAAAAATCCAGCAGATCGTTTAAGCCTTTCATCAGTATTGGATCATCCCTTTATGTCTAAGTGTAAGTTAGCAAGAACTAAAGGTTTGGGAAATGTAGAAGATTCTATAGATAGTGGAAATTCCACCATTTCTACAGCTTTTACCCTCTCTCCCAGTGTCAGTACAAGTGGCTGCTTAAAAGAAAAGAAAAGACTTTTAGTAGGGCAGCCACTTCCCAACAAAATGACAATTGTTCCTAAAAATAAGAACTCTAGTGATACCTCCTCTGGGTATGGAAGTAGTTCTCATAACAACTGGGAACTTCCAGCAAAAGAAGTTGGCAATATTGGTAGGGGAAGAGCAATGTTGATTGAAGAAAGACCACATTCACGCTATCTCAGGAGGGCACACTCCTCTGAAAGATCGGGCACATCCCATAGTCAGAGTCAAGGAGTACCAAGTCACGTGGAGAGATGCCATTCTATGGAAACCCTTTCAAAACCTGGAGGACTAATGGAAAACTTGAAGGATTTTTCACCTGCAAATAGTCATGGTGATATTCCTTCTGTATTTAAGGACAAAGTTGCCACTAGGACCGATTTAATGGAAAAATGTATTTCTCCGCCTGTTGAAAATCAAACTTGGTAAGAATCTATCTCTTACAGTTGAATTCGAAAGCTGTATCATGACACTGGGGTCCTAATTATGTAATAACCTTGTTTGGATATAATGTTAAAATCTACAGTTCAGTGTTACCTCAGGTTCATCAACTTCCAACCCCTTTCTCTTTTAATGCAGCTGTGAGATGAAAAGGTTCAGTTCTGGTTTTAACCAATTGTTTAGCTTATGCCCAGATTGAGACAAATAATGGTTACTGCTTAACTTGTTTAAGGTGTTTTTGGTAGCTTAAAATATTAAGAGTATTTCTGATTTCTGTATGTTATGGTGGTGATACAGTTGTGTTATGAAGCAGATATATTGTATGCTAATAGTCAATATTTGTATCTGTTTCTGTGAAGCATACTTATTTTTTTTTGTCTTTAGTTTGAATTATCTCTGTCCCATGAAACCCAGCAGTGGGTTATTAGAACCAAAGTCCCAAGTTAAAACAATGCAGCAGTGGCTTGGAAATATGCAGCAAAATGGTATGTATGTATTTAATCTGAGTATTTTAGAGTCTGGATGGAGACATTGGTTCTCTCTAAAAGAGACCATTCTTACAAGCAAAAATGTCATAAGTATTTTATGTTCTTCCAAAGTCAAAGAAAAGTAAAGATCTGTCTTTTCAGGATATTTCATGTGGACAGAAATCTACTGACACAGTATTATGGAATTTGGAGTGGTTGGGTGAAGGCACAATCCATTTGTAGGAAAGTTTACTGTTCTGGAACTTAAATAATTTCATTTTGGAGTTGTTCCTGATGGAGGCTTGCAATAATTCAAGGTTGGGTTGGCTTAGCATATATGTAAGTGTAGTCTACATTTAATATGGGAGTTGGATAAGCAAAAGAGTTGCACCCAGTGGGATAGACTGTAGACACATGTACCCTGCAGCATTCCCAACCCTTTTCTTTAATCCATATAATCTGTTACAAAATAGAAAGCCCGTTTTGCCATCAAATGTACATGGAGATGAAGCTAAACTTTTGGTCAGTTGTATTTGTTCATTCAATGTGCTAGTATTCAGGTATTTGATTTTATGTGCACACATTAAAGGTGTTATAGATGTAAACAGTGAAATAGTCATGTGGAAAGTGGCTATTTTCTTAGGAATAATTGTATATAACATGGCTTATGCCATTTTGAGTTGCTACAGCTGAGAAACAAACAGATGCTCCTGTGTTCTCCTTTGCTGAAGGCATTTTGATTAAAACACATTGTGCTAGTTCACAGGACAGCTAATTATGGGTCAGTTTGCTCTTGATGAGCTTGGTGATGCTGGCTGCCATTGTGAATATGCAGCTCCTGACTGGGGGTTGTTGTGCTGTGTGAGTCCACTTGGTCTTGGTTATTTGAGGGCTAAACAACCATTGCATAATCCATAGTCTGTTTTGGAATTATGAGAGCATGCTTTCATTAGCTTACTCCTGCTGGTTAGATTCACACAACACAATGACCTGGTCCAGTGTGTGGGGAGGTTGCTGATTCATAATGGGGGCCAGCACATGCCACAGCTCCTCTGCAAGCCACAGTGGGCTCCCATGTCATCTGAATGAAGTCACACTTTTTTTAGCTTGTTAGAATTTTCATTTGCTAAGTTGCTTCAGGTTCATCTGCCCTTTAAGGGCACAATTGTTATGAGAAGACATTGGCCCATTTCACATTATCAGAATGACTCCAATGCCTTGTTTAAGGCAGTGTGTACTGGCCAGCACTTTGCATATTGAGCCCCTTGCTGAGTTTTTATGTGTTGCCAACCTGTTTGGCAGTGTGAGCTTAAGTGGACTCCTGGGGACGGTGAAGGACAGGAAGGCCTGGAGGAATGTTGTCCATGGGGTTGCGATGGGTCAGACGGGACTTCGCAACTAACAACAACAAACCTGCTTGGCACAGATTATACAATGACTCTTTTGTTTTAACATAATGCTCCTGTGTTTGAAATAAAGCAACATAGACCTCCCTAGTAAGATTCCTATTATAAAGCTAAATAGTTAATATGCTATTTATTATCTGCTATAGAAAGAAAACTTTAGAACAGAATACGTTCTTAATAGCTTTTGATATTTTTGGGATGCTAATTTATAATAAGAGACCTAAATTGTCATGTTTCAGAAAATTCACTTTTCTGAAAGTAGTAAGATCTCTTTTAAAACAAACTATTTGTGTAGAGATGTAAAGGATGAAAATAGTAGTTGAATATTAGCACTGCTGCAGAAAGGAAGAGGGAAAGAAGATTAACAGGAACAGAAGGGAAGGAGGAGCTTCCTTTCCACCTGCATCATATTACATCATGTACTGAAAGAATACAGCATACAGCTGTAATTTAACCTAGGACTACTTAAATCTCCTTGGACACTTCCTTTGTTTTGATTAATCAAGAAAGCCTCAGAGAATTGTAACTATAGAGTATAGTTGGGATTATCTGAATCCTCAGACGATTTTCTTTTTTATTGCCTCTGTCCTTTGACAGAAGGGCTGAATGTGATAATTCATACTTTACCAATACAGCACTGCTGTTTCATACATCCCCAAATGCTTTATTTTATCACTCCCAATCCATCTGTTTATATTGAGAACAAGAACTGATTATATAATGCTTAGAAGAAAACACAATGACTTTATCTACTTTATGTAGATAGCAAACTTATACAAGGAGAGAACCAAAGTTCCAGTACATATTTACAGATTTCGTTGCCATTGTCTTTGAAATTATTCAGAAAAAATAAAGTTATGATGCAAAACCTAGTTTATGAAATATACAGTTATAAATATTGATTTTTCAAAAGGAATTGAGGTTCAGGAAACACTTTCAATTTATTGAATTCTTCACATCTGCCATGCTACTTGAGTCACAGAAGGATTAACTAAATAGCCTTATCTGTCTTAGAAATGAAATGTTTTTCTGTTCTGTAAGAATTAGGAAGAAACTTGTAATGCATATTCTGAATATTTGCTGCTTCAGCTCAGATGTCAAAACCTTCATGTAACACACATGGAGATTTTCAGTTCCATTTTGGTGTACCTCAAGAGACACGGAAAAATGCATGGAATGGCTTAAAAGGCAATGGGTCGCCTGATAATTCACAATCAACCTCAGTGCCACTGAACACAAAGAAATACACCACTGGACTTCCATATAAAACTGAGAAGACTTTGCCAGAACCTGCATTTGGTCTCCACTTGGTACCTGAAGTCAGAATAAACAGAGGCAAGGAGCTACAACATGAACACCCAAAACCAGCACTGCGAAGTATTGTAGCTCCTCTAAGTGCTCATCGGCTAAAACCTATCAGACAGAAAACAAAAAATGCAGTGGTATGTATCATATAATAACTGCAAATGTATCACAGTACAAATGAAATTTATAAAAATGATTATTTTTTAAATAGTTGGAATTTGAATTAATTTGCATGATTAACATCTTTCTCTACTAGCACCCTGACTCTAAACCTTCGCAAACTGTATAATCAGCAAAAACTGTAACATTTTTCAAACAGCAAGCTCCAATAGTTCCCCAAAAGGGGATTCTGGCCCAGACTCTCATGAGAAATCATGTGGGTAATTCATTTTCTAACAATTACGTGAGAACTAGTAGGCTCTACCTTGCTTTCTGGGAATAAGAATGGACTTTGCTGCCTCAGGTTAAGGCAGTGCTTACATCAATACAGTTTAAAGTAGTGCACAGGTTCACACTTGTTTATAGGATAGTTGTTCTGTGAAGAAGATAATGTGACTGTCAAGGCAAGCCCTGAAGGTTATGTCTGTAGCAGCAGTGATGTTGCAAGTTGTGCTTTAGAACATTTTTGCTTTTAGTAACCAGTCCTGTACCAAACTTCTGATTAGATCACTCCCTTGAGAAGCTTTAATGAATTGTTCAGTAAGTTGTCTAGTGTAATAAAGGTAGTTGACCCTTTGTTTTCATAAAGAGGTAGAGGAAATAATAATATTGGCTTTTGAGCCATATTCTACTGGGAACTATGTAAGCTGTTAGTTAACTAACATAGGAACTATGTGTAAATGTGTGTGTTTCTTATAGCAACATCAAACAAGACTATTTGATTCAATTACTGCACTCAGATGTCATCTTGCCAGTTTTTCATTTGTAATAGTACAGTTCTTCCCATGGTGCTCATTTATTTTTAATCCTCTCATTCTCTTTTGTCTTTTCCTTGAGCCTTCATCCCCAATATTTATAAATCTGGTAGGGTTTGAACATTCTGATTGGGTGCCTCAAATCCTCATCTGTCTAGCAGAAATTCACTGTGAAAAGGGTATCTCTGTTCAGGTTGACAGTACTTACTAGAAGCATAAAAACAGACTTTGGGCTGCACTACAGTATTTTGATTAATTTTGCTGTAAATTTGGGGGAAAAAGAACTGGATTGCTACAGAGTATTGCTTTTGAAATCCCTTTGTCTAGACTGTGTTCTGTTTCAACATATATTCTAGGTGAGTATTCTAGATACAGGAGAAGTGTGTATGGAATTTTTAAAAGAATATAATTCACAAGAATTTGTAAAAGAAGTTCTGAAGATTTCATGTGATGGAAGTGGGGTGAGTAGTCATTTATATTTTTTTAAACTTGAATGGTAATATTGAAAGAATGTGTTTATGCTTATTACCCAATTGTATAGACCAAGGTGCTATGGGAAACTTGCTTTTCCTAGGAAGTTAAGCAGACTTTTTCAGTGTATAATATGTATGGTTTAAAATTACTATATGGTTCCTTTTATGTTAAATGCCAGTGTGTTTTTACAGGTATGAACAACTGATTTGTTAAACCTGGCTTTGCCAGCTTAGTACCTCTAGATGTTTTGGACTACAACTCCAGGCATTTCTTACAGTTGGCCATGCTTCCAGGGGCTCATGGAAATTGAAGTTCAAAATACCTAGAGGACACCACTTATGGAAGGCTGTGTTACACTCCTTTAAGCTATGCCCTGTTCAGTGAACAGCAACTGCCCTAATTAATCAGTTCAGTCTTAAATCTTTTGAATCTGTACATGTGAAAACTGAAAGTAATCTTGATTTCTGAGGATAGCAAGTTCTTTCTCTGAAAATGGAGAGGACTGATCACATGTGGCACTTTTAATTTACAGTAGCTTTACTTGCATAACCACTGGTTTACTTTTTGAGAACACAACATTGAGCATATAACTCTTGGCTATGACAATATTTTTCTGTATATTAAGGTCACAATTTACCACCCAAATGAAGGGCGAGGCATTCCTTTTAATGATAGACCACCATTACCACCTCCTGAAGACTTAAATGTGTATGGTTTCAATGACCTACCAGGTAAGCTACTTCTTGTGAGCCCATTAAGAAACAAGCATGTTGACACAAGAGTACGCAACAGTTGTTATTGAGGGCTGCATTGCCTTGGAGGGTTTGATTTCAGTTGCTGCAGCCTGATGATGTGGACAAGGGGCTTGGAGCAATGCAACCAATATGTGCCCTCTTGATTCTTGCCTAATAAAAGCTAGCAAAGGCTGCATTGCTTGGTGGGACCAGAGAGTGGTAAACATATCATGAAGGGGTGGTTCCAGTCATCTTTTATCATCTTCAACTGGTATATCAGCTATGGCATGGGTCCTCAAATGATGGCTTTTCTTTGGATTGTTACAAATAATTATACATGTGATTCTAATATGTGAAAACTTACCGTATGGATTTTGTTCTAGTAATAATTTCAAATATTTTTTCTTTGCCATCAGAGACCACAAAGAACAACATGCCTTTACAATGACAGAGCATAGGAATTTTAAATTAATAATTCAGAATTGCTGAACAATTATTATTGTTAATCTTAACCTTCTTAAAAGAAATAGCTGAAGCCATTATGGGGCTATGGAAATTATATAGTGGCTATGAAATAAAATATTCAAGTTATTGAAATCCTGGTACTTCAGTACCACATAGGCATATCATGCAAATGCATTTCTTGGTATCCTAAGTTTGAACATTAAAACTGAAAGAATATTCTATCTCTCCACTCACTCATTCACTCACTCTGAAGTGCTTGAAAAACCATGCTATTCATTAAAGGATATTGCTTAATCCTATCAGTTTAACTGATAAGCTTTCACTGAGTGGTTTTGCATGTTATGGCCCTTATTTAGAAACTGCGTCAGCCTCTGTTTAGCCGATGCTTCTAAATGTTTAAAAGGGTTCACTACAAACAACAGATTTTATGTACTGTGAGATCTCATGTAGTACATCATGTAGAGACTCAGCCTTGCTGCTCGCTCAGTTCTTTCTTGTATGAAAAAGTCCAGATTAATATGCTGTTATATTGCATTTGCAGAGCTTGAGTAACTGCTTTGTGATTCAAGTGGGCAGATTAAAATTGCGGATGCTCTGCTCATTGGCAGGTGGGGGACAGCAGAGAAAGACAAATTGATATCTGCTTTCAGGGAAACTTCCTCTACTTTTTGGCTTCTGTCAGGCATAAATTAAATTTAGTATTTAAAAGCATGATCTGTTTAAGCAGACAGGTTATTTGTACAACAGCAACTTACACTTAAATCCATTTTCATATTTCATATTTTAGAGAAATACTGGAAGAAGTATCAGTATGCTGCCAAATTTGTGCAGTTAGTTAGATCTAAAACTCCCAAAGTCACCTTCTATACAAGATATGCCAAGTGCATGTTGATGGAAAATTCTCCTCATGCAGATGTGGAAGTTTGTTTTTATGATGGTATGTATCCCTTACTGTTCTGTACTTTTCCCTTCAGCCATTAAACATGTATTAAATTATTAGTCATTTAGGCCACATTTCTATGATCATTCAATGTTGTCTGGGTGAGTGTGGGCAATAGGATTATTCAGAGCCTGAAGGCCAAGAAATCTCCTTCCTTCCAACAGTAGGTTGGAAAGAACCTCAGAGAGGTGGAAAGGGGACAGGGGAGTGAGGAGGGGAAAGGCTGGGCTGATGGTTTACTGATTCCTACCGTTCTGATTGCTCTCCTAATCCCCAGCCCTTGGATTAAATGCCTAGTGAGAGGCATACTGGTAACTTGTTGCCATACCTCACTCCATGCAATGGATGCAGATAAGCCTTGGAGTTCAGAGGCTTACATGTATCTAAATTAGAAAGCATTGGATTGTGCTTTAAATTTAAAAAAATATCCCAACTGCAAGATGTGGTAGCTCAAATCCCATCAGCCTAATGTATGAGGAAAGGGATCTTGGGGTAAAGGTAGACAGCTTGATGAAAATCTCGATCCAGTGCGCAGCTGCTGTGAAATTCCATGTTAGGCATAATAAGGAATGGAACAGAAAAATAGAACTTCCAAGATCATACCCTCCTTATACAACTGTTTGGGGTAGCCACATTTAGGCTATTGTGTACTGTTTTGGTTGCCTTACCTGAACAAGGGCACTATTGAGTTGGGAAAATTGCAGAGAAAGGCAGCTAAAATGATCAAGGGACTAGAGCAACTCCCTTACACAGAGAATAGTTAAACTATGGAATTCACTGGCATGGGAAGGGGTGATGGCTGCCAAGAGGGAGGCCTTTAAAAGGGGATTGGACCGATTCAGGGAGGAAAAGGCTATCATCTGCTACTAGCCTTGCTAGTTAGATGCTTCCTCCATTATCAGAGGGGGTATGCATGCACACACTAGTTGCTGAGAAGCTTGGGCAGTGGGAGGTCTGCTTGAGGGATGGTCTGATCTAGCATGGGTTCTTCTATGTTCTTAAGCTGTATGCAGTCTCTCATTATTAGAGGCAGTTTGAGTTGCCATTCTCCTTTTTTGCTGGTTAATTTCTCCTAGAAAGGGATTGCATTTTCCATGGCTATATAATCTGTTTTTTATAGGGGCAAAAATACACAAGTCAGCAGGGATAGTTCGTGTAATAGAAAAATCTGGAAAAGCCTACACAATAAAAGATAATGAAATTGGATTAGAGAAGGATGTACAGGTATATGTGGATCATGCAAATGAGGTAAATAATGTTTGAATCTTTTGTAATAGGGGTAATGCACAAAGTAGCTCATTCCAATTATTAAATTAGCAAACTAGATTCTCTTTCTCTGCATTGTCCAAGTACATGGTACGTTCTTACAAAATTGTGGGGTGGGGGAGAAATCAAGGAAATTTACTAATTATTGTTGAACACTGATTAGGCCCAACACTCTGTAATAGGAAATTAAAATGGTTTCCATATAGCCTGAAGTGCTTGATTCTGCCTGATCTTGGAAGGTAAGCAGGGTTGGGCCTGGTTGAAATTTGAAAATATTGTGACCCACCCAGAGAGCTTCAGCTACGGGTGGTATAGAAATGTAATAGTAGTAGTAGTAGTAGTAGTAATAATAATAATAATAATAATAATAATAATAATAATAATAATAAAAAGTGGTATAGAAATGTAATAGTAGTAGTAGTAGTAGTAATAATAATAAATAAATAAATAAATAAATAAATAAATAACTGTATCATTCATGTAAGTAAGCATCTTTATTCTCGGATTGTTTTCTTCTTTTAAAGGGGTCACGTTTAATATAAATTTATTTTTAATACAGGGACATCGCATTTGCCTTGCACTGGAATCTGCCATTTTGGCAGAAGAAAGAAGTGAAAGTGTTCCATTTTTCCCCATTATTGTTGGACGGTAATTAGTCTTTTTTGGGCTTTTTCAGATATACATGTTTTTCAACTTTTAATTTTTCACAAGGCAACTTCAGTTTGTGCCTATTTTCTTAATGGAACATTAAACCTATTAACATAATTTTCTTATTATCAGGAAACCAGGAAATCCTGAATCTCCAATGGTTTTGGTACACTCTCCTGCTTTACCAGACACAAGCCCTTCTTTGATGGATACCGCCTTGGTGAAAAAAGATAAAGCTGTCAGTTCGGAATCTGGAAGTCAGGCACCTAACATATATCCACCTGTAAGTAAACAAATGTGTTGATCAGATCTTCAGAGTTTAGAGCCATGGGCACCACCACAAGTTAGATGTGCCCTCTTCATCTGTGTATGTGCACATGAATTTGCACCATTTGTGTTACTGCCTGGCTCTTTGCTCCCTTTCCCCCTCTTCTGGCTCCCCTCTAACTTTTTTCTTCTGCTGTTTCTATCTCTACTCTCTGTCTCTCAGTTTTTCTTTCTTTTCTTTCCATGTGTCATCTCCCTAGTTCCACTCTCCTATTACTCTTCCCTCTTTATTTAACAATCTTTTCTTCCCATACCCCCTTCCTCTTTCATGTGCCTCCATCCTTTCCCCAAGCCCCTATTAAAGCCAATGGAGCAATTTATTAATTCATTTTAATGAACTGAACTTCATTTCAAAGTATCCCTTTTCATCCTGGCTGAAAATCAATTGGACAGGAAGTGTCCCACAGCAAGGACCTTGTTGCTCTAAGGGTCCTAAGGCTGGAGGCAGATATTGCTTGTCTCTGTGATTGGAGTTATAGCTCCATTCACTTGCGGGACGGGGAAGTAGCATGGCCTTAGCAGCACAGTGACATCTGCAAGTGCTGTACTGAAGACTTCTGGTCTAGATAATGTTATCATTTCATTCATAAAATTCAGTTTTTTTCCAAAATATAAAGTCACATCTAGGTATATATAGGAATCATATATGAAGAGATCATTCCGAAATACTAAAGTCTCTCAAGGGGTTATGACCCATGACTACAGTACTGTATTTCCATGGTTACCTTTCAGATGTTTCCATATGAAGGATCTACATTCACAGCAGCTACAACTGAATCAAAGGGTCCCTTTGGTCACCAAAATGATTGTGCTCCAAATTCAGCTCAACTGCTGAAGTCTGTCTTTGTAAAGAATGTTGGTTGGGCTTCTCAGGTGAGTTGACAATCAGTAACTACACAGAAAAGTCATAACCTTTTGAACAAAGAGATTGAAACATGTTGAGCTGTAATGCAGCAGTTGCTGCATTTATACTAAAGAGTAGTTGACAATATAGTTTGTTTCCAGCAGCTCTGTTCCTTGTACCTAGACTTTTTAAAAATCTGAATAACTGGCAGGTGAGACAGCTTGGTTGTTTTCTGTAGTTCAAACTGGAGTATGTCCACAATAGAAAAATTGGTAGAATCAATTTGTGGGAGAATGAATGTATTGAAGCTAAACAGTACTTCCTATGGTGCACCAATCCAATGCACATTGAGCTAAAATTCTGGTTTACATATACTAGACAAGTACCCTTGTGTATGATAGAGGCATACAGTAGGTTACATTCAGATTTTCCCTTCCTTTGTAGAAAGGCAACCTTTGGATGTAATCAGAATGCAGAACTATCAAGTAAGAGTTTAGAATTCTTGGCTTATGGTTTGCAATTCTGTTTCTTAAGACATAGATCTGAATCCAGAATCTTCCTTAAAAGGTTTTGTTCACCTTAAAAGAATGTGCCTCTGTCTGATTTAACATTCACCTCCACTGTACCCTAGAGTTCATCCCCTTCAGCAGGGTCTGTTGGCACTTTCTTAGCATTTGCATGGGCTGCCATGATAGGAATGAAATCTGCTTCTATAAGCGCAGTTGCTCATGCCTCAATCTGGACCCAATGCATAGCTTAGGCCCCAGGTCCAGAAATCACAATAGTGTATCTGCCACATGTAGCAATTTATAGAATATCTGTTCTATGTTGACCCTTTGTCATTATATCACTGTGCAGTTCCTTACCCATGCTTGAAGGAAATATTTCCGTTTGTGAAGTAATTAAAACAATTAATTAAAAAATTTCTTGCAGTTGACCAGTGGAGCAGTATGGGTGCAATTTAATGATGGATCCCAGTTGGTGGCTCAGGCTGGCATTTCCTTGATCATATATACATCTCCAACTGGCGACACTGTTAGGTGAGTGTTAAATCTTGATAGCACAACCACATACCTGTCATCTCAATTACAGGCCTAACTTTTAGTATCTGCACTGTAAGTTTCAGAAGCTGTGTAACCATAGTCAGTCTTGTGCTTCATAGCCTTTACTCTTGGTGGATACGCTGTGTCCTGGCAACACTCATTCTATCAAATTCAGAATGGGGGAGAAGAATAACCAAGCTGCACACAGTTAAAACTAATTGGGCAGTATATATTAAAAATGACATCCAGACTACAAACAATGCTTTTTAACTTGCTTCATCACTGAGCCTACTGGAAGACCATAGTGTCACTATTCAGATATTGACAAGTCCTGATAATCCATCTGCCTAAACTGTTAACCAAAGCCATTCAAGGGAGTCCCTAGACAGAGAGAACCTAGTGTTACCAATTAAAAACACTCTGTAGCCATTAACAGTATTTTTTCTACAAGAGAAAACGGGCAAAGTTGAGGGAAAACCAGAGGGTTATCAATTAAATACAAAGATGTATGCCCAGGCTCCCTATAATATGTGAATAAGGATGGTCCCAATAAAAACCTAATCTGGAAGCATTCCAGGTCAGTAGGAGAAAATTTTAACTCTGTGTCAGGACTATTACATCCACAAGAGAAGCTTGCATTTGAATAAATTGTTTTGTTTTTGTTTTTTTAGTTTTTCTAATCTGTCCACCACTAGCATCTCGGGACAGCTTACAATAAAAAACAAGTAGAATAGAAGAAAACAGCATAGCATGTGACAATTTGAAATAATAAAACCCCAGTTAAAATCAATTAAATATTAAAATGACAAGAAAATAAAAAGGTTTTCTTTTGCCTGATGCCGAAGAGAATACAACGTCGGTGACAGGTGAACCTCTCTGAGGAGCGTATTCCATAGTCAGGGTGCCACCACAGAGAAGGCTCTCCTCCATGTAGTCACCCTCCTAATCTTCAAGGAGGGCGCCCAAAGCAGGACCTCTGCCTCAGATCTCAAGGGGTGGGAGGGCACATAGGAAAGGTGTTCCTTCAGGTATCCTGGACCCAAGCAGTTTAGGGCTTTATAGGCCATCACCAGCACCTTAGATTAGGCCTGGACTCAGTGTAACTAATAAAGGACTGGCATTATATGTGAGGCCCTGCCAGTCCTCATTAACATCCTGGCAACTCTATTCTGAAACAATTGAAGTATTCAGACTGTTTTCAAGGGCAGCCCCAAGCAGAGCGTGTTACAATAATCCATCCGGGAAGTTACCAGAGTGTGGGTCACCATTACAAGGCAATGCTAATGTTAAAAGGCTGATGGTTTTCATTGGGACTTTGTTTGTATTTTTGTGTTACGTTTATTGCAAGGTTTGGTGAAATTTGGGGTAGCTAAAAAGGAAATGGAAACTGTGTGTACAGCTGACACAGTAAGTTGCATGAGTAAATGGTCACCTAATTTTATACCAAAGAAATATACTCTCAAGTTTGGATCACTCTAGCAGCAGTGAACTATAAATTCCACTTAGATATACTTCAAACAAAAATGTGTTCACATTTTCCCAAAGGTCCCTTAAAAAAGGCATGCACCAGTATTGAAGCTAGCTGGGATTCCTGTTTTAACCTAGGATCTCATGCTGTTTTTCTATTTATGTAGAACATACTTTGCCACTTTATTCAAAACTGTTCTCTCCTCTCCTGCAGCATATGTCCCAGAGTTCCCAGTAACTCTGGAAGTTTAAAAAAGCACAACCAAAGTTGGTTTGGATTATTACTGTTTGATATATTTGTTCTTGTAGGATTTTTTCACATCCAGAAACCATTCTAAAGTGGCATTTCTTATATGAATGTAGTAATAGTGTTTTTCTAAGATTCTGCTATCTAATTCTGTTGCATGCATAGACTTGTCATAATACCTATTTTCAAACTGGATCGGCCCCTTAAATGAAAACACAGATCAACCTCAATGAAATATAACCAGCTTCTAAACATTGTTTTCATGGAATCAGTGTAAATTGACACTATTCCACAATGTTAGAAATTGCTGAAATGAGTTCTTTCAACTACGGTGATTTTTTGAGCACTCTTATCTGAACTGTTTGCTAGGTTTGGAGAAAATGAGAATCTGCCAGAATACATCAAAGAGAAGTTGCATTGTTTATCTTCCATTCTGGCAATGTTTACCAATCCAGTTGATTCCCACTGACAAACTGCATATGAAGACTGAATCTTGGCATTAATGGGGAAATGCCTTACGTGAAGTAGAGCATCCTCAGCAAACTCAGACCTTTTTCCTAGCTGGAGTTAATGTATGATAAAGCTGCTGAGCTGAGCTTAGCTGAGCACTTGTATAAATTTTAAAAGCATGATCAGTCAAGGCAAAATTACTTACATTTTATGTAACAGATTATAGGAAATTAGTGTGACCACCAGTTCCTTTTCAGGAAGGGACCCTTGAATTGTACAGAAGTGTGTGTGTGTGTTCTCTTTCAGCTGTAACCAAGACTTACATCTCCACTACTGCTGTGTTTGTGTCTGTAAATACTTTGTATTTTACTTTCAGCTATATGTAAAGTGTATTGTTTTATAATTGTTTTATATTTTTGTAACTTTTTCTAATGAAATATCCCTGCAAGAGCTTTAAAAAATAAATGCAGTGGTAACTGTTTAGATCCCTTGCTTTATTTAACACAAATGCCTGGATATACTCTTCTAGGATACTGATACTAGTTTGAACAATAAAACTGCACTTCTGCAGTAACAATCGAAGTATTTGTACACTTCCGTACACCCTGGATTTTTGCTAATTGAGTAGAATAGGTTCAGTTCACATGTAATGCTATGTCATGGTTTGCTGTTACATGAATAAATCCTGTAGCTACAGCTATCTGCAACCTCTGCTTTTTAAGTGACACACTACACGCATGACACCGTTGGCTCACTGGGAGAAATTTAATAGCTGCAGAACCTTTATTAGGAGTAATGAAAATAGCAAAGCAATTAAATATTAGTTGCTATTTTGACATTTCCAGTGCTCCTAGTAATAGCCTTTTTGGACATTTACAACTTCTGCTTCCTAAAATAGAATTGTTGATCAGGACAAAGAGTGACTTGGTTTAGATGTGAGCTGCAATTAAGTATTTTCAAACTGGACATCTACACCAGCAGTCTTCACAATTTCTTGCACAAGCTTTTCTCCAGTTATTCCTCCTCCTAAGGGAAAGGATAGTTTTTCTCCTAGAGACTTAAATCAAACCATTAAGGTAAAAGTTTAGCAAAGAAACAGGTTTTTAGATGTTTATAGCTTTAGAGCTTATACTTGCAAATACAGACAGGTTAGTGTATCCAACTTGGAATGTGCTAGTTGGGACATCAGTTTGAATGAGCTGTAGCTTAAGCTGAGGAAAGGCTACATGCTTCCCAATCAAGGAGTCCTAGATGGAGACAATCTACCAGTGTTGCACATACTCTCCACCACCAAGGGATTGCTCCAAAGAAGAGGGGACTTTTACTCTACTACTAAGAAAGAGAGGAGATACAGAAACCCTTGAAATGAACCAACGTTCCTCACAACATCTCTTGAATCTTTCCTATGAAGCAAGCAGTTACAAAAAGAAGTCTGACTTTTTCCACAAGACATGTATTTATTTTATTTTTATACTGCCCAGAGGCTCTCTGGGCAGTTAACAAAATTTAAAAACATAAACAGGAAAAACAGGCACAAATATAAAAAATAAAGCATGTACAGAAACAAACTACCCTTTAAATAATTATTTGAGCCTGCCACAGTGCTTTCTATGCACATTTCCCATTGACCAGGCTGAGCCTTGTGATTTCATTTTCTTCCACATGCCCTTTATAATTCTCATTTACCTTTGTAAAATAACTTCACTTTATGAAGAAGGGTACTTACATTCTTTCCACTAACAGAGGATAGCTTCCAAGGTGTCCTTGCATTAACTAAAGGCTGTTTCATACCACACATAAACTGCATAAAAACCCTAAACCAAATCATTTTCTTCTGTTATTTGTTGTACTGAAGCACTTATAATACTGGGATGTATCCCACATTAGTGTAATTTGTCTATTTAAAAGGTCTAACAGGACTAACACTGGATACAACTCATTGGCTCGGCTGTTTCAGCATTTGTAGAACTGTAGTGATTTTTTTTTTTTTTTTGGCTTATGAAACTTTGAGGTAACTCTGAAAACTTTATCAGCAATGAAGAATGGTAGATTATGGTTTAAGTAACCCTCCTTACTACAATTATCCAGGAATAAAAAGAGATCAACTAGCCTCAAGTTTGTATAATGAAATCTAAATTACAGAAGCTATGGTCAATATTTAACAAGACAACATTCATGACAACGCAACTCAGTAAAGCAGTTATTTCTATATTTGTAAAAACTCACTGGTGCAGCTTAAGTGCTGCTTAGACTGTGTAGTTGAATTAGTAAGTGCATCAAAAGCGTGTGTCATCTGTTGGCTGGAGCTGTAAAGCAAATATATTCAGGGCCATTCAGCAGCAGCAAATAAGGAACATAGAAAGATGACATATAATAAATTATTGCCGATTACCCCTCTCAGAAGTCTCGCTACATAAATATTCAATTCACACAGACTGAAGACTAAAAATTAATCCTAAATGAACAATTTCCTTTGCATAAAATATTCTGCCTATGGATGAACACAAGAACATGCTAAAGGATACACGAACATTTTATTGCTTAGGTTGGATTTTACTAATTAATGGTAAAAATTATTCATTGACGTTTAGAAGAGGTAGTCTATTAATAAAAGTGCATATCACAAAACTTTTTCGACTTCGGTTTAAAAAAAAAAAAATAAGGCCTGATTCACAGAATCAAGGTGTTTTTTTTTTAAGTATACCAGTGCTACAGTAAATAGAATTAGGACTAATGCCTTCTCTTGAAACTTTATGTGCCAAACCCATTTTTTAAAAAGCCTTTTGTCATAAAGGCCTATCGCTTTCAGTATTTTATCAGTAGTATGCTAAACAAACTACTAAAAATTTAAGGAAAGGTGAGAGTACATGGAGGATAAGTTACATAATTGAATACAACAGTAGGATTGCACTGCATCATTATTGATCACATTTACCTTACTAGATTCCTTAATATTGTGGCACATAAACCCACATGAGATAGCTTTAAATCCCTTTTAAACCAGCTGATTTTCTCTATTTATGAAAATTAAATTTGTAATTATGTTGGCAGTCGAATCTTCTTCTTAACCTTTGTGAATCTGCTTTTTACAAGTTTACTTTTGTGATAAGTGGATTTATAGATACTTAATCAACAGTAATGATTTCAAGAATCAAGATCCTAAAGTCTTGGGGAGAGGACAGAGGAGGTGGCTTTCTGTAGACAGCAGCCCACAACATGCAGAAAATCATGGGAATGGTATGGGCCAGGGTGGACTTAGTGTGCTTATCCCCTGCTTTCCTTCCTCAAGTGTAGAGTTTACAAATAATAAGAATGGCTGATTAGGGCTGGATTCCCACAACCATCTTACCAAGTGTTCATACATGTAAGCACAGACATTCTGCAAGAGCCCTGATCCTTTCATGTCCTTTTCCCAGCCCACAGAAAGTAAGAACAAAGATTAGGACCCTTATATTGCATTTCTGCCTTCAGAAAAGTGCCATGAAGCCCTGTTCTTTCTGCTCCCCACAATTGTGCATTCCATCCCCACCCCTACCAAATTCTCTGATGGTAAAATTGCATGCCATTTTCATGTAGCTAGGGTTTTCCCCTTTTTCTCCTATGGATCAGGAGTCTAGTGTGGTACATGAGGGGTATCCATTTGCCTGTGATTTGTATTATAACTGGATGTCGTTTGGCAATGTAAACTGGAAGCGTGGAAGCCTGATCCAGATGGTAACCACAGCAGGCAGGGGGAAGGATTTGTCTCCCAACATGTCCCCTACAATCCCACTCTACCATGTTAGGCTCCCAATCTGTGAAGTACCATGTAATCTCACTTTACATAAGAAAAAACCCCTAATAACTTTTGAATGGTTACTCCAAGCACCATCAAAGCAAGACAGGCATATATTCTTGACACCTGAGTAACATGCATCAATAGTTTTCACCAAATTAGGAAAGAAATCTATAATATGCCAAGCCACAGCTTGGATAAGATGGACAAGTGTCCATTTTCATCCCCTTTTCAGTCGCTGTACAGTGGCAAATTTTCCTGGATCGGCATGAAATTTTACAGAACAGCTGGCCTCATTAGGTAGATCAGATGCCTAGCTACATGATTAGCTCAATTGATAATTGATAAACATTTATCAGCTTATATTAGTGGCTTTTGTTTTGTGCAACTCACCTTAATTAATGGGGCACTCCTGTAGCTCTTTCATACTACTATATAGAGTATATACATAGTAGTGCACTGGTCCGCAAATGGTCCTTAGATATTACCAATACCACACGCTGTTTGCAACAAAATAGAACTGATCAATAATTATCCACAGCTAAGAGTTCTCCTCTTGTAGCATCTCGTTTCTGACAGAAAATGCAACAAGTCTCTTGTACACCACTTCCAAGAGTAAGAGAGAAAGAACAACAATTCCACAGATTAGGCCAAATGCCCAGCGGGGTCCCAAGTGAGTATAGAGTTGGCTGACAAACACTGGGCCGAGTATACGTGCACCACTTCCACAGGCAGTTAGCCAGCCCATGTAGATACCCTAAAACAGATCAAAAGACTGTGATCAATGTTACTGCTCCGTGAATTCCATTTTATCACCTAATTCAAACATAAGCAATGATGAAAACATGCTTTTCTTTCTAAAAATGGGAAATTTTAACTAGATGTAGTTCCTAGCTTAATGTTATGCTGTTTAACCCTATGAATAACCACAAGTGCCTGGGTTTGGGCATCGTCCCAAACTATAAATGGGGCATTTACAGCTTGCTGTTCCAAACTGCAAGTGGCTCACACAAAGTGCAGCAAATGGCTACTTATGTGCAAGCAGCCCCACAATCTAGGAACAAGTAAAATATAAAGTAATCTAGTGATACCAATTAAGATGCTACATCAACAAGAACAACACAGTTTTAGCCAAGGAATTAAAGTAGTGTATTATACCTCTAATTTCTATATTTAGATAACAGAATGCAAAAACTCTAAGATTAAGAATAATCTTACATAAAACTGTAGGCTAATATATGCTCTCTAATGGTGTATTAGTGAGCAATCCTAAGCCACTTTGGAGAGTGACAAAAATGTCCTTCAAAAACAGAAGTGCTACTTCACTAGTGGAGAACAGTTCTGCTAGCAGGATGACATGCAACCTGATAGAGGTCCCCCCATATGTCTGAAGAAAGTTCTGCTGATGGTGATATCCTATTATAAGAGTAGACGGAAAGTCCATGCTTGTTGCAGGATCTGTGGTACCTGCCGGATCCTAAGCCCACTATTCTCCCTGCCATAAACTATGGCACTTCTGAAACTAGCATAGTTAACGCACTCCCACCGGATTCAATGGGGGAAGAGAAAAAAGATAGAAAAATGGAAAAGTCATTCCAATCTCTTCTATCAAATACAACTGTAGAAAAGCAGCAGACTTTCATTGTGGTAATTATCTGGAGTTGTCAGATTTAGTAACTATAACTTGGGAACACTAAAAATTGAGCTTTTTGCTCACTTGATACAAAACAGACGACCCGTGGCCTTCATCACTATAGCTGCACCAACAGCCTATAAAAGCTAATGCAATATGAATGATATCCAGCATTCTCTACTAAACATTACTACCAGTAATATAATGAGGTCATCAAGTTAATAAAAGAGTTGAAGTTCAACAATTTGTTTATTTAAAAGCACCTTTGTACATGTTTTAGCAAAATTAGACAAAACTGAAAAACATATTTTATCTATACTTTTTATGAAAAGATCATTCTAAATCAAAGCTTACCTGAGGCTTTGGTCCTAAGATTTTTGAATATAAAGTATATGACATGACATTACAGGTTGGATAACCCAGCCCTATTAGAATGACTGTAGTGATGTACTGTCCCAGGTAGATTACTGGAGTATAGAGGCACCAGGACTGTATAATAGGGCACCCTGTTGTTTCACCAGTAGTATTGGATGGAAGCTCTGTCTGCACTGTCCAGAAAAATGCAAGACTTTCGCTGAAGGTCACTTTTGGAATAGTATTATTTTTTAAGTCTGTAAAAAAAAAGTGAGTTATATACAAATGCAGATATTCAACAGAAAGTTTAAACTATACTGGTTATATTTATACCTTCCCACTGGATATTAGGTAACTGATTTCCCCAAGGTAGTAAGACAAGGAATCCAACCAAGATGATCACTAGGCCTCCATAAAGTATAGCACGTTCACCAGTCCTGTTGGATAATGAAACTCTAATTACAATATTCATATTCATGTATTTAATAAAAGAAATCTATATATATTAGATTTGACATATCTGAGGTTCAATTTCCTCTTCATGATACATGTAATGTTGCTCGTTAAGAGTACCCCAAGGATTAGGTTAATGCTTATAGTAAACTATATTACAGAGGCTTATTAATGGATAGTCATTTGCAACCTAGAGTTGCAACCAGATCTTTTGAGATCAGACATTTTCTATCTTTTCAGTTACAATGAAACAGTATACCTTTAGTTACTTACCTTTCAGAAAGTACTTTAACTGATAAAAAGACGATGACTGACTCAATGCCAATTGCACCCAGGATTATTCCATTGATAAACACTGCTTTTTTCCTTGTCCAAGAATACATATCCATTGTAAATGGTGTAGCTATACTGGAGAGTAAAATAAATGACTGTTAACATACCCAAGGGTTTTGATTTGTTTTGCTTTTTCTGCCAGTGTTAAAGTGTCTTAAAATATCTAAAGATCACCAGCTCTGAAGTTTCAGCTAGTTGCATTACTACTAACTTGGTAAACCTCACTAGGCACTCACCTTAATAAGATAAAGAAAATAAGGTAACTAGTGATCAGGGAGATGTAGCAAAGCAGAAAACTGGTATCCAGGAAAAAAAGACAAGTCCTCATAAACAAAGTGACGGGATTGTTGAACATAAATCATTATGGGTTTGTGTGTTGGCCAAAGCTATGATGGTCTTGTCAGGGTAGTTTAAGTTATGCTGAGAAGTCATCTTAAGAAGACTTCATTCATTCATTCATTCATTCATTCATTCATTCATTCATTCAATCAATCAATCAATCAATCAATCACTCATTCTTGAATTTATATGCCACTTAATAGCCCAACAGGGCTCTCTAAGTGGCTGACAACATTAAAATACATTAATTAAAATTAAAGATTACAAGTACAGGGGGAGGCAAGTTGGGGAATCTGCTGGAACATAATCCGGTGTTAAAATCAGATCTCAAAATATTTGTGAAAGAGAACAGTTTTCATCTGGCAATGAAATTTGTTTGTTGAGCAATACTTGAGGCAAACAAAACAAACCAGTTGCTTGGCAAGAGCTGCAAAAAACCCCCCAAAAAAGGTTGTTTCTCTGGCAAAGTGGTTCTAGGAACACTCCAATGCCAGCAACCGTGAAGTGCCCAAGTCATACTTCATGCAGAGGCCAAGCAGAATGCAACCCAAAGAAAAACCCCTCTTTGCCAGGATCTAAACAGCTGTCCCCATTTGCTGTTTTGGGCCTCTGGCAATGAGGAAGAGTCTCCCATTGCCTCTTGCTGCCACGAGCAGTCTGGGTGTGGTGGGCAACACCATGGCTTCAAACTGCTTGTGAGTAAGCTGAAGCAATGGGCACCTCCCATTCTCCATTCACCTCGCATTAACAGTGCAACTGTTAAACAATGACAGGAGGAGGAGAATGCTGGGAGGGCTGGGGGAGGGAAGTAGGAGGTGCCCTATCCCCTGATGAGCTTGTTCGTTGGAGATTTTATTTATTTATTTATTTAAAACATTTCTATGCCGCCCCCATCGCAACAAAGCCTCGGAGCGGCTCACTGTATGTGTGTGTATATATACATATATAAATAATAATAATAATATATAAATATATAAAATAAACATTTAAAACCCCCCGGTGCATTCTCGGCTAATTTAAAATCCTAATAAATACAATAATTTAGATATGGAAGACTGAATATCTTATAGGCCATACTACATAGATTTCTATACAATGTGGCTTATTGTGTCATATAGACCACCCATCCTATCCCTGTACCTGGGAATAAGGCTTTCTTTAATTATAATTTAGAAGTTTGAAGGGAAATATGAGATCTAGGTCACTTTGGATCCTTTATTCTCCTCTTTTGCCCTCCTCTTTTTCCTTTTCACTCTCCCCTCTCCCTCTCTTGTCATCCCCGTAGAAGTGAACGGAGCAATTTCTCCATGCATTGCACCAGGCAAGAAAAAGCCCCTGTCAAAAATTGACTGGAAGGCAGGGTGAAGCTCCTGTTCCAAGGACCCTGTTCCTCAAAAGGTCCTTGCCAGGCAGTGGGCTTCATCCCACCCTTCAGCTGCTTTTTGCCATGGAAGGGATTTTCCATCCCTACTTAAGTTCATGAAGAATCACTTCACTGCAGGGCAAGTCACCCTGCCAAAAATCACCTGGAGAGTGAGCAAAGCCCATGCATTGCTAAAGACCTTGTTGTCCCAAGAGGCCATGTTGTACGTATTTTTTGCCCTTTCTCCAGCCAGTTTTCAGCAAAGTAAATGGAGGAATAATTAAAAAAAATACTTTGAAGGAAGTCTCAGCCTGGTCTTATAGACACCACACTGGGAACCCCTGAATTATCATTTTTGCTCACTATAACTCCCCTCCCGCCAAAAGGCATGTGATGGCACTTCTTTCACACTCCTCAAATTCCCAGCTCTTCCATGCTCTCAATTCTCTTAACTCCCAAGTTTACCAAGCTTTAGCAGCACATACCTGCATATTTTTCCTATTTAACTTTGAAGGGAACTGTACACATATACACATACACTGTATGTATAACTATTAGCAGCTTAACCAGCTGAAACTTTAGTTACAATATCAGTCACTATAATGGATCAAATTTTCTCAGCATACACAGAAAGAAATGTTTTATGAAGAGATAATCACAATATGAACTGGAAAAGCGAATCCATTTGAGGTTCCTGTCATGTACAAAAGTATGAACCAGATTCTAAAGAATCAAACAAACTTACGTTTCAAAGACTGCAAAAACAAATAAGATGACAAAGAAAAGAATGTTCGTTGATATGACAGCGACATGGTCAATGCTTCCTTGATTCTGTTGACTCTCATTATCGGTTTCTATATTGAAACAAAAAAGTTACTTGATATAACACTAAATAAAAACAGAAGCTCAGTTCTCACATAACTGTCTTAATCCTAAGACAGGCCCATAGTGGACAATCAAATCCTACCTAAAGCCAGGATAGGCACAAGCTCCATTGTGCTTGTTTCAATGGTATTAACTGTAGTTCCCACATCAGCCCACCAAGAAGTGATGGTTAAATGCTGCTTTCTTGCTTATTTTGCCACTTATGCAGAGAAGAAAAATGTGGCAGCAAAGGAGCTGTGTGTGACATGCATCATTTCATGCACATTCTGACCTATTAAGCCACAACTGGTTCACTGACACAGCTAATGAGTACTGGGATTGTACACCTCCTCCATTACTCACTCCACTTATGAATTGGGATTAAAATAATGTATCTGAAATGTTAACCCTGTTTGCATTTGAACTGGGAAGCTAGCTTATAGTTAGCTTACTAACTTACATAAAGAAAGTAAATTCAAGGACTTGCTTGGAATGTGAGGCTGCAGAAAAAGAGGTGATACGAACTGTGGTTGTGTTAATCAGGGATTCATAGAAACACAGAAACACAGCGAGTCAGAAGGGGCCTCCTGGGCCATCTAGTCTGACCCCTGGCTCCAGTCAGCTCCACTCACGACATGCCCACCATGTGCATGTCAAAGGGACATTCAAAGGGACTAGTGTTTCTGTGCATGTTACAAAGAAACTTAGTGCACTTTCTGGTTTCTTGTTGCTTTAAAAGAATGGAAGGCTTAAGCTAGCTGAATATGCAGTGATGGCAAAGACCAGTCACAGATGCTAACAATAATGAAAAGATTATTATATTTTACGTAATAATTGAGATGTAAAATAAAGTTTAAATAAGGATGATTTAGCTGATATATCTTCTAATAAGTCATAAAAAGGAAATCCAGTTAATGAATCTAGTTATAAATGGAAAGCCTAGCATTTGTTCTGCATTCTCAAATCTTTCTTCAGGGAGACATACACACAAGAAGTGATCACCATTGTTGCTTACCTGCACTCAGTAGGTGACAACCTGCCCATTTGTTTCCATTACTAATCTAAAGTTTTGCATTCCCTAGAAAAAGCTTACCTTCTGCTTCATAGTTAATGCTGCTCTGTGGTCGTCCCATGTCATCTACACGATATTCTCTATTTTAAAAAAAAGATATTAATTGTGAAACATACCAAGAAATTTTTTAGTGTGTTGACCCTGATCTTTTAATAATACCATATTATTATTATTATCCCACCTTTTTTCCTTTCAATAAATTCAAAGTGGCTTACATAATTCTCCTCCTCTCAATCTTATCCTCACAACAACCACCCTATGAGGTAGGTTTGTCTGAGATTCTGGACTGGGCCAAAGTAACCCAGTTAGCTCCATGGCTAAGTAAGGACTAGAATGCAAATCTCCTGAGTCCCAGCCCAGCACTCTTAACCACTATACCACATTAGCTCTCTAAAGTTATATAACAGTTTTAATATTTCTAAACATAGATGAAGTAAATTTTAAGGGTATGACATACCAGAGGGCTATTGCTAGTATTGGTTAAGGAGGGCACATTATGTTGGACATAACACTATGTATGTTTATTCAGAAGTAAACTAAATTGTGCTGAATGGAGCTTACTCTCTTGAATAATATGCACATGATTACAGAAAAGTATTAGGATTAAATCTTTTGCACCAACTTGTGAATTCAGGAGGAATCCAATTAGTTAAACCAATATTTGGAAAACTGACTTCATGGCATGAAACAACTCACCAGTAATAGTTCCATTTCCACTCTAAAGAAAACTGAGATCATGCTGTTAGGGCACCATGTTTAATTTTCAGTAATTTTAATGGAAATTTTCAATGGCAAAGAATCCAAAAAGCACTTGCACTTCTATTGTAAACTGTTTCTGTGATGCAGTTTGGACCTACTTGACCATGTTAGTCTTCCAGCATCTCAATACTCCAGGTGCTGACTATTCCACCTTCAGCACTACATCACTGAGATTACTTTTGCAATTTCCAGAATGCAAAACTAAAATTTCAAACTGGCAATGCCATTTATTTTGATTTTGTGGGACTTCTAATTATGTGATGCTGGCTTTTATCATAATTAATAGATAGTTGGTACTTCTTGCAGAAAGTTTCCAACTGTGTTAATAGCCTTCTTAAACCAATTTATATATAGGAAAGGGGTACCACATTATCTGCATAAAGTAATATAGATTATTTTTCCCCTATAAAGGCTAAGAATTTGTTATTACTGAGGTCAAACACCATAAGGTTGATCAAAACATTAAACCAAAAATGGGGTCAGTGTACATCCCTGTTTCACAAATCATGTGACTGGAACTTTATTAAAGCCCCAGTAAGATCTGATATTTACACAAATGCTTGAGCAGAGATTATTAAAAAAACATGTGTTGAAACCAATACATAGAAATGTTCTCCTTATCTACAAAATCGTCAGGTTACCTTTCAATATAGGCCATTTTGGGGTTTGACTTTTAAAAAGTTGATACATGACTTCTTTTTCCTAGTTAAAGCCCCCTCATAAATCCCATAATACACTAGAATACACTAACATGGGAAGAAAAACACATTGAAAAAGTGCAATTACAAAAATATTGATGGTGTACACTATTTTAAAGAACTGTCTTAGTTTCCAATTACCTAAATACAGCAAATATCAGAATAATGTTTATAATTCCTAGGAGAGCTCCGAAAAGAACTGGTGCTGTGTACATGTTCAGCTGGAGTTCAATGATTTTCCATGAGACTCCTTTCTCTCCAATGAATGTAAAAAGTGTCTGAAAAACTAACACAAACACGTAGAATTAAGAACATAACAAAAGCCATGTTGGATCAGATCCATGGTCTATCTCATCCAGAATTCTGTCCACACAGTAGCCAAACCAGCTGCTTACAGAATCTCACAAGCACCTTGATGAAGTGTCTCTGGCAGGTAAAACTTCTGTTTTGGCACTTAGTCCTCTTTGACTGGCTGTCATGTTTCACCATATTCTCCAGGCCTATTTCCTCTCCTAGACTGAGGCAATCAGAAATGTTTCTATCTCCCCTCGCCCCAGGGCATGCTTCCAGCTCCTGTCAGCTTTTCTGCAGTATTCTGCCACCTTTTTCAAACATTTTGTGCAGTTTATTTGCATTTTGGTTCAAGTAGAGTCTATGCCTCTTGCACAGGCTCAGTGTGTCCAAAAATGTTCTCCAGCACCTAAGACATCTGAACCCCTCCTCCAAAGGCACCATTTCATCCAGGCATGGAGACTTCTTAGCTTGGTCTGTCTAGCTAGCCTAGTGCAGGGAACCAGTATCATTTCAGAGAAACCTATTTTGGTGGTCCTGGATTGAAACCTTCTACTTTAGCAACCTAATTTGGCTTCCAGAACCTTTTGACTACGTTTCCTCACATCACTGGTACCAACATGTAATATAACCACTGACTATCTACAAAAATGTTTAGATGGCATGTAACATCTGCAACCTTTATATGAAGCAGCCAATTTACCACGTGATTTACACATGCATTGCAAACCAAGGAGTCTATGTGTTTATCAAATTTTCCTCTACCACAAGACCCCCAGAAACACATCCTCAGCACAACAGGATATTTATTTATCTTCCAAGGAATAAGTCCCTTCTAAGGGATCATTTCTCTCTTCTTCAGAATGATACCGTCCTTCCCCATTTTCCATGACACCAAAGCGGCTGTCACCCAGGAATTAGTACGCTGGTGTTTTGTCCCTTAGAGTTTTGTTGGCCTATTCCTCTGCCTCTCTTTGCTTCTCTAGGCCAGCAACCTTGGATTTGATGGAATGAACTTGTTTCTTGAGAGCCAGGAGCACATTAAATTAAGCAATAAGTGGTTTTTAGACTGCAATCCTAAACATACACGAGGGAGTAAGACCTATAAAGCTCAACCGGGCTGCCTTTGAGTAGATTTGCATAGAATCACAAAATGTAATGGATCTTTACTAAGCTACGGAGTAGATGGCCATGTTCAACTGAGTAGATATATCCAATGCTGTCCTTCAATATAAAATAAATTTAGTAGCACCATAAATTAATACCACAGATACTGAAATAGAGGACCAGAGAATGGAAATCGGGAGTATGTTTCTGATGTGGAAACGACAACTGTTCTTTTCTAGTGGGACAATAAGAGCAATTACCACTACATCAACTGTTTAGAAACATAAGAGAAACTGTTATCAACACCTCCACAAGAAGACTTGAACACTTAAATTGAATGTACACTAATGAAGTAACAGCATTTGTGATCAAGAATACCAGGATCCTCATACAACAGGAAAGAATGAAAACATATGTTGTACCTGGTCCCAGAATGAATCCCACTGCTTGGCAAGCACTTGTGTTTGCCATAGCACTCGTTCTTTCAGTAAGGGAAGTGGCACCAGCAATATATGACCGCACTACTGCTACATTTCCTGAGATATGAACAAGAGAGAGTACATTTGACATTTGTAGAATAAAAGGATTTATTTTTTAGCCTATTTAACCTACTACATACATGGATAATCAAGAGTTTGCCAGTAAAACAAGCATGAATTATTCTTGCTTGTTGCCATGCCTATTTTCAAAGGAAACTTTGTTCTAGCTGTATCAAACTGCTTCTGACTGTCAGAACTTTTAAACAACTGATATTCTTCAACAGAAATTATTAAACAAATCATGCCACTTCAACAGCATTTTGAAGTCAGGAATGTAATTAAGGTGTAAGTGGCCTTTGGAGGAGCTACTCTATCCAAGCAGGGCTCTGGAACCAATTTATTGTGATAACTCTGATGTCACAGTGAATCTAGGATACTCCTGTGAGTTAACTATTCCAATTGGTAACTGGGATAGTGGGAAACATTTGAATATATTTTTGAAGTCAAGTAGTTGAAATTAGGTATTTAGACCAAGAGGTTCTTGAAGCCATTATAGCCAGTGTAGTAGAGTCTTGAACAAGGGAGACCGAGATTGAAGTCCTAAGTGACCACAAAGCTCACCAGGTGACTTTGGGCCAGTCACTGACTCTCAGCCTAACCTATGTCACCAGGCTGTTGGATCATGGAGGAGAGGCTCATGTATGGTGTCTTGGCTCCTCAGAGGAAAAAGCAACATATTCTCGTAATAATAAATAAATGCCACCTTGTTGGTACACATGTGATATAGGGAACTTTTTGCCAAAAGGATACATCTGGTTTGGTTTGTTAATGTTTGGTTTCTTAATACTTTAGTAACATGAATGTTCTTATTAATGTTTGGTTTCTTGTTAATCTAATAACATAACTGCCGTAAATGGGATGTAGCAGAGCTTCCTAAAAGGCATGCATCAACTAACCTATCAGTTTTCAGTTTCAATCCCTCTAAAATTACCTGCACCAAATCCCACCAGAGCTCGAGCAGCCAGCATGTAGTATTTATTGTGTGAAGCAGGTAAATGGACATAGGCATAGAGGCAGTTGGCGGCCACCGAAATAGCAGTTGAAACTACAAGGGGCTCTCTTCTTGGCCGATAATTGGACCAAGCTCCGAAGAAGGGGGAAGCAATCATTTGACCAATGCTATATGAAGCAATAATCCAGCCAAGAAAGCTTTCGTCTGCAGTTTTATCTACCTAGGGAAATGAAACAGCAACTTCAGCAACACTTTATTCTTCATGTCCCCAACAACACATTTTATCATACAGCTATGTATGCACACTGATGAAATTTTGAGAAGAAAGGATCAATGCTGTAAGTAATTTGGGTAGTCTTCTGTTCCTTGTCTACAGAAAGCAACAAGTGAAGTGGTTGCCATAGGGTTCTATTATACTCTTCCCTCCCTCATAATTTTCTGCAAGTAATGCTGCCCCTTCTAAGCATGCTCTGATTCAGTAGATCTATCACACTGCAGCCAGAACCATCCCATACCTTATGCTTAACAGCAAGTATGTCTCCAGAACTGCGAGATGCTTGCTATACCCAGCAAAAATGGGAGTAGAGCAGTGCTACAGGACCTGCGGAAAAGCTTGCAACAGGATCCAAGAATAAAAGCTATATAAACTAATAGCTCTCCCGAGTTTTCATGTCAAAAAAGTAGGGTGCAAGCTAATCTATTCCACTGTGCCTAGTGGGCATACATAAATACCACACTTAGCTATTTGGGATAACATGCTTGCTTCCCATCTCCTCAGCTGCATACACCTGCCATTCCCCATAATCAGGTAGCCTGTGGGACCTTTGGCAACCAAGTGCCAAGCTCTCTCCAAAAGTTTTGTCTGATGAAAAGGCTGGACAAGCATGGTAAAGTTTAGGCAGCATAGCTAAGTATGTATACTCCTTGCCCATGCCTAGCCTTCCCAATGGGAAGTTCAGGAAGTATTAGCTGCATTGGTCTCAGCTGCTTAAAGGCATGCAGGGGACTCTTAACCAGTGGGATCCAGTTTTGTCTGCCCTGGTTATTCCAAGTGGAACAGCTAACTGGGGTCTGCAGCTCATAGAAGTAAACATCTAATTGTACATGCATCTTTAAGGAGTAGAATCCATCCCTGCCTTTCTTAGTCCTGAGTAGGGAAGGACAGCAGGTATAATTTGTGCTGGATTGGTGCTGCATAGTCACGGTTCTCTGCTTTCTTTTTTCTTAGCTTTGGAGTTGGGTATAATCTCCACACCTACCACTCAGCTTTCACATTTGGAAAGAAGGCTTTCTTTTTCTGCTTGCCAATAGGCAGCTGACATGCACACACCATGACAAATGGATTTATTGAAAGATGCCCCCAACAGTCTTATACCACATGCATACCTATTAGCAGATGGCAACAGAGGTGAGGAACAAGATCCATGACATCTAAAGACTATTCCTAACCCTAATACTAAATGAAGGCTGAAATAGTCATCTTCAGCATTTTAATTTGATAAAAAAGTTTTAAGAATAATTATCTTTTCATTCAGAAGTCTAGATGTGTATAATCTCCATAATTAGTACAGCACCAGACAATATCTTAGGAAGGTAAGCAAGAACATTTTACATTGTGATTTACATTCTACATTTCTAGCAGTTTGCTCATTCAAATAGGTGGTTACAGACCTGTTGTAGATAGGGCCATATTGACATAATGACAATTGAAAATCCTGTAACATAAAGATTTGAAGTTATTTTGTGTTGCTATTAATTATTTTAGAACAAACTCTACATATATTTGCTTGGAAAAATATATGGTAATCCAGAATGCTACAAGACTATATAGAGAGTCAAAATTGCTACCTGTTTTCTTGAAAAGATTTTTTTCACAATCCCAAATAATTTTAAATGGCATATGTGATCTTCTAGTTTATCCTTATTGACATCAACGGTACTAAGCCAGGCCTTCAAAGCAAAGAACCTTAAGGACATTGACCAAAAAGACTTAGCCCAGCATGTAACACTCTAACTTCAGTAGTTTAATTACATATATTCCTATGTAAATTGCCATGTGGGTTCTAGTCCCTGCTCAGCCATGGAGCCAACTGGGTGCCTTTGGGCCAGTCACAGACTCTCAGCCCAACCTAACTCACAGGGTTGTTGCTGTGAGGATAAGATTGAGAGCAGCAGGAAGAGTGCTTTGAGCAGCAGTAAGCTGCTTTGAGTTCATAAGAAAAAGTGAGATATAAATCCAGTAAGATCCAGTGTGGTGAGTCAGTGTGGTGTAGCGGTCAAGAGCTGGGACTGGGACTCAGACAATCTGGGTTCTAGTCCCTGCTCAGCCATGGAGCCAACTGGGTGACTTTGGGCCAGTCACAGACTCTCAGCCCAACCTACCTCACAGGGTTGTTGTTGTGGGGATAAGATGGAGGAGGAGAATGATGTAAGCTGCTTTGAGTCCTTTGTAGGAAAAAGGCAGGATATAAATGGAAAAATAAATAAATAAATAAATAAATAGGCAATATGGCCAATGGCCAGAAATCCTGGAAGTTAGTTCAAAACACCTGGAGGGCAGTAGGCTAAGGAAAGTTGCCTTACAATATGTGCCTTGAATGAACAGGAATGATACTTAAAGTTGAGAGGAGAGTTAAGCTACAATCAAGGGACTAAGCCAGCTCACACTGGCATGGTCACATAAGTGCAACTAAACCATTGCAGTAAGTCTATAAATCATTCCCTATCAAATGTGTGTGATCTTACAGAGTTTCTTTAATGAAGTCTCATTCACTGAATTAATGTAGTGAATATGAAGAGCATTGACAGTTCTTCTGGTTCAACTGACAACTATAGTTTTGAAAGCCTAAGTGGCTATTTGGATTAAGGTTATTCTTACAGCTTTACTGTGTAAAGAATATTATAGGAATGGGGAGAGAAGGAATAGAACTGCAGCTCTAAAATATGTTCAGATCGTATGTGCTTTTTTTAAAAAGAAAAGAATATGATTTTTAGTTCATATTTGAAAAGAGAACACTGAAACCTAGCCTACATATTACAAAAAGACCTGGGTGGCATCCAACATATATTGTAATCAGATGCGAAATGGTAAGTGGGATCACTCCTTTGGCTTTACTGGAAAACCAGGTCCATCTGGCTTTTTTCTTCTTGAACTGTTTCTATTCCAGCTAAATGCTGCATTTTCTATGTACTTTAAAGTTGGTATTGCAAGTTCCTTTCTTACTTTTTCCATCCCGATCCTTTTTTCCTTTTCTGCCATGTATTTTACATTTTAATCCTACAGACCAGGAATGTCGTGTTTTAATTTCATTTACGCAAACCACCCTAGGACACATCTTGGCTGAAAAGTAAGGCAAAAACACTTTAAATAAATGTGTTGATTGCCATTTGAAGCTTCCATGAGTCATTTTAATGTAAATACAATGCAAACAAAAAAGCTATAGTACAAAAATAAAATTGATAGGCAGTATATTTACCAACCAACACTACTGAAGAACATTGTAAGGTACATTATCCGAATGGCTCTCCACCGGCTACTGTAGTGTGGTAGTGTTTCCATAACATCACTGCATCTGCAGTAACAGTAGCAATAAACAAAGTAAGTCTTTTGTCCACTTTACAAGCTTTTTTAAAGCCTAACAAGTACTAATAATATGTAACTGCAGCCATTTTATTTATTTGGCTATACACCTTATTATAAAATACAAACTTAAGGCAGCTTAGATAAAAACATGTCAAAACAAAATAGTACGACATACAGTAACACAAAAACTGTATCAAGCGCTACAGACTGAAAACACGAAAGACTCCATTGAAACGATATCAGCAACCGCGAACTGTCCTAACCCCAACCCTCTACCTACCTGCTGCCTTCATCGTGGGAGCCCAACAGAGGCTCCTCCGGTCGCTCCGGAGAGTCCAAAACAGCAGCCGCCATGACCGGCTTCTACACGCCGGGATCCAATCCGCACCCGCCTTCTGACAGCTAAACGCGCGTGCGCGCGAGCACGGCGCACCTATATCCTAGTCGTTGTTCCTCCAGCTCCTCCAATGTGAGTGAGGGAGACTGACACGTCACGTGATCCGTGGCGGCGAGGAGGCGAAAAGCGAGAGAAGTCAATGTGTTGCTGAGTTCTGGTCACGTGAAACGCGAAGAGCTCATTGGCTTGAGGAGAACGTTTTTCCCCGCCCCTCGCTCAAAAAACCCCGCTCGCTTGACCTCTGGCGTTTCTCGCGCGGAGAAAGGGAGCGGAAGGGGGAGGGGCGGCAGCGGCGACCTTCGGGACGGCTCGCCCCTTTTCATTCGCTGTGGCGGGAGGACGAAACGCGCGGGCGGTGCGGGCGCTGGCGGTTGAAAGGACAGGCAGGACGGCAGCTGGAACGGGAGGTACCCATAGCCTCCCTTCCCCTTCCCGCACGGGCTTCTTTCTTTCCTCGCAGGGAGCTCGCCGCAGCGTGGCAGGAACGTGCAGCTTGACGCGTCTCTCTGCTCGTCCCCGTGAAACATACAAGGAAATCCAGCTGGACTAGGGACTCTGTGCAGCACGTTGGGCTCATTGATTGAACGTGCGGAGAGGCAGGCGAGGAAGAGTCTTGTGGTGCAGGATAGGTCTGCACAGATTGTGTTTGTTTACTAGCTTTGTTTGTGTCGGTGGTTTATACCTATTTCCCAAATGGGTTTACGAAAATGAACAGTTGGGAGAAAGATGATTTAAAAGTCGGTGGACCCAATTGCACTTTTTCTTCCATAGAAATGGTGTCTTTTCCTTGTTCTGGCCTTGCTTCTTCTAAATATGTTTTTATTGAATTTCAGTTTCTAAAATAAGAAATTCAGTATTCGAACAGATGGAGAGGGTGTTAGATGGATTATAATGAGTTAATTCGTTATTTCACCGTCTGTCTCTCCATTTCGTTCATCCCAATCAGTTTTCCCATAAATTGTTATATATTGTCAGTTTATTGTTCTTTGTATTAGGTTATAATCCTGGCTCCTGTGCACACTTATGTAAGAGTGTGCAGTTTATACTACAACCGTCTGCACCTCGACCCCCTGCCCTGGACGTCTTGCAATGTATTTCTTTGCTATCATTTGAGACCTACGAGCTCACATTTAAGGGACAAGATAATCGCTGACAAATTCGTGAGCCAGCAGCTCCTCTGTGTGGGAGCTTTTGTTTGTAACAGGTGGGAGGCACAAATAAAATTTCTGGAGGTCTGTTCGTGCTTTATAATATAAACTCCACAGCCCACAAGGCAAGAGAAAATTATGGTGAAATGGAGGATTCTGAGTTTGTTTCCTTTTAAAGGATTGCCTGTTGCCTAAAGCATTCTTGCCCCATCAAAACCAAGAGGTATTCCTTATTTTAAACACCAGTTCTTCATAGAACACTGAAACTTTTTGTTCCTGGCTGTTTTAGAAAACTGCTTTGCTAAACTATGGAATACTATAAGTATGTACCGTATATATTGGTGTATAAGGTGACTTGCATATAAGACAAAGTCAATATTTTGGGCTGTTTTTCTGGTGTTTGTCATACATTGGGTGTCTAAGATGACCCTCAATTTTTGCTTTGCTATTTTTGGTTTCAAGGATCATCTTAGACCCTGATATATATAGCATGCATGTTTACTACAGTAAGAGAAAACTGGTGGGTTAGTTGGATTGTAATGTCCTGTAGTAAGGTTATTGTAGTACCACCCATAATGAGTGAACTGGCTCTCTGGTAAGCTTTTCAATGTAAGTTACCTAGGTGTTGCTTATGGTTTATGAGATTGCAAAAGGACAATCTCATAAACCATTAATAGATAGCTTTCCATTCTTTAAAAATTTGTAGTATTGTTCATATTAACCTAGATAATACAGTATCATATAGTAGACAACCTTGCAGTTTGTATATTCATGTTTTAGAGAGCCTTGGCTATTCGGTGGTGTACAAATGAATTAAATACATTGCATTTGAAGCTTATTTATTTGGTTTGTACGCCACCCGTTAATCAAGAAAGTTCAATTAAAAGCTTGAAAAATGCAAACAAATGCAACATATAATAGCAAATCAATTAAACACCAATAAAATAACAACAGAATAGCAACAATTAGTACACAACAGCTTTGCTCAAATTAGCAGCAATAAAATCCAGTAAAATGCAATATATAAAGATAAAAAGATTGTTATAAAAAGATTGAAAGATTTTTATTTTGTTGTAAATATTGGGTGAATAAAAAGGTTTTATGAAGAAGAAAAAAGATGGACACCAGGTATACCTCCTTGGGGAGCTGATTCCACCACAGTCAAAAAGGCCTTTCCCCTTGTAGCTACCTTCTGTATTTCTTTTAGGGGTGGCTCTCTGAGAAGGACCTCAGATGATCCATGCAGGCTTATATGGCAAGAGGCATTCCTTTAGATATGCTGACCCCAAGCCATTTAGGGCTTTAAGTATTAGTGTGAGCACTTTGATTTGGACCTGGGCTTCAATTGGTAGCCAGTGGAGTTGGAGGAGAACTGGCATAATATGTTCATATTGGCCAGTCTCCTTCAGCAGTTTTGCTGCTCTATTCTGATCCAGCTGAAGTTTCTGGACCGTCTTCAAAGGCAGCACATAGAGTGCAGACCAGTAATAGACCAGTAATTCCCCAGCACCACCTTCAGGTAGTGAATATGTACCACTATCAGCTGGTCAGGTAGGAGTGGAACCACTGCAAAATTGTACCTCCAACTCTGAAATCCTGTCAGTCTATCCAGAAGGCTACCATGGTTGATGGTATCAAAAGCCATTGAAGGGTCTAGGAGAACCAAAAGGGTCACACTCCCTGTCTTTCTCCTGGCAAAACTCATCCCACAGGGCGACCAAGGCAGTCTCCATGCTAAAACCAGGCATGAACCCTGAATGAAATGGATCAAGATGATCAGTTTCATCCAGGAGTACCTGGAGCTGTTCAGTCACCACCTGGTCAAATGCCTTGCCCAGTAAGGGGATATGAGCCACTGGCCTATAGCTGTTGACATTTTCTGGGTCCAGATTGGATTTTTTCAGGAGTGGTATGGTTACAGCCTCCATTAAAGAAGCTGGAACCACTTCTCCTTTCCAATAGGCATTTACATATCCCTGCCTTGTTTTGAATGATAAGCCATTATGGGCAAGGGTCAAGTGTACTGGCTTATCTCCCTGTTTGTATTTTGAACCAGCAGGTAAATGAACAGACTTAGCAGTTAAGCGATACATCTGTAGAATAGATGCAAAGTGTTTTGCTTAGTGGGCAGAGCATAGAGGCGAGCGCCCCTCCTGCATTCCTTCTGTCATGCATGCCTGGGGTGCCTGTAAGCCTCCCAGTTTGGAGAGTTGTGAGCAGTCTTGTTGGATATGAACTCACAATTTCTGAAAAACCATAAAATTCCAAAATCACTGAAGATTAAGGCAGACATATTTGTACAGAAAAGCTCAGATAGGTGTATTATGAGGAAAAAAGAGCAAACAAAATGCATGTGGTAAAATGAGAAGACAAATGGCACTGGTAAAATATTAACTAAGCAATTACATTATGTCAAAGGATAGGGCAACCTGGTTTTGTTTGCTTTACTTGATACACAGTGGTTGAACAAAGCAATGACATTAAAACAATTATATCTGAGTAAGAAAAGAAAATTGACTTTTCCCCTCAGTTGCATTAAAGCAGCATTTTATACTTTTATGTGGAGCCTGAATATAATCTAACAATTGTAAATCTAATAACTATAGGCTTCAGAAAATTTATGTATCAATTAAAACCAAATGTTTACTTGTTTGTGTGTATATATGAAGTATATATACTATTTTTATTTCTTTTTTACCTTAAATGAATAAGATTTGGCTGTATGTCTGATTTGTCTAACCATTTTCCTGATAACGATCGTAAGAAATGTAGAGAGGTAAAAATAGTGGTGGTCTTATTAAGAATATTACTATTTGGAAAAGAATGGCTTAGTGTGTTGTGCATTCAAATGTATGTTGACATAACCAGGAATTTACTGTGTTTACATGTTATGTTTTAATTATTTTCTAATTAAAATATTGTTTGCTTTGAGAATTCTGCATTGTGAGGCAGATTAAAACTTCAGTAAACATTAGGCAAAATGTGCAGACTGCAGATGCAATCTAATATTTGTCCAACAAAATGGAGGGACATGGGTGGTGGTTGATAAAAAGATGATGTATAGTAGGCCTACCTATGGCGGTAATTATGTGTATAGACCAGGGTTTGTGAGCAGGTGTGTCTGATCACTTTGTACATAACACCAGGAGGGATAATATAAAAACAACTCAACCTTTGATATGTTGAATATTTAAAACCGAAGCATAAAGTTTCTTTGGTTTCTTTGTTTTGCTAGGAAAATTAATTTTAAAACTCAAATGAATTTGAGTGATACTTGCATCTGAATGAAAACAAGTTTGATCTACAGCATCAGGAGTTCTGAAGTGGCACGCTTTTTATTCTAGTAAGTGTACTTTTAAAGAACAAGATTTTTAAATAGTACTCTGATAAAGTATTAGCTCTTAATGGTATGAAAAAAATATCGAACACTTCCGTATTGATTTTTATGATTAAAACTTGTGTCTAATAGAAGTGAATCTCTAAATCATCTTATAGCTTATCATCTTAAGGTAGAATTTAATTAATACTAAAAATCAAAGTATGCTGAATCTTTTGATAACTGGGATAATAAGGAATATGCACCTTGTTACAAGACACTCACTTTAAATAACAGATTCATGTCATTATGAGATGAGATAGTGTTTGAAGCTTAAGAACTAGAGCGTTTTTTACTGTTGAATAATTCACATGTTTAGGAAGTTAGGCTTTGCACAGCAGTGTGTTAAAGACATCTCTTCTTTGAGGAGAAACTTAAAGGTAATTGAGTGGTGCTCAGTTGTAGGATTGCAAAAGAATTGATCTTCCTGTAGTCATTGCTCTGCCTGGAATTTTTATGCATAATAATATTTCCAAAACTGAGAGATCATTGTATATTGGGAATCTGCTTGTTTGCCATAAAGTTGAAGAAGACATGGACAATTTTATACAAGCATGAGGTTTGTGAAGTTCATCAACATTTGAAACACAAAACCCGGACCTCACTCCTGAAGGAAATAGATCTGTCTTTGGATTTAGTAGTTCTGATTCCTGCAGTTATGTACAGCAGTTGCTGGGGAATTTGGGCAGAAAGATGCCATTGCACTCACATTGTACTTGTGGAATCCTGGTTGGCCATGCTGTGAACAGAATGCTCAACTGGATGGACTCTTGGTCTGATGCAGCTTGAATCTTATGTTCTAAAGCTGTGTTTGATATGATAAAAATAGGGAGGGCTTTAAGCAGTCGGCTTCAGAACAGTAGTATATTTTGAAAAGCTTTGCAGTAAAAGCTGAATGAACTGTACTGCAAGAGAGTCATTTTAGCATTCAAGCATGTTCTGCCCCCCTGCCCCCACACTCATGCATGCTCAAGACCAACTCACAGTGTTAGGAACGGAATCAGGTTCCAAGGAATGACGACACAGGAGACAAAGTACCAAGCAGCACTAGTTTATTACGTTCTTGCAAGAGCGGTGCGCCCACCTCACAGGTAGCACGCCGTTTTTACAAAAGACATTGCCTTTTATTCCCTTTCCCCGATGCACAGACCCTGCCTCTTTTCGCCCATTGGTTGGGTTACTAAGAGGTCACAATCTTCTCCGTCCACCTTTATTAACTTAATTAATAAAATGCCTTTTTCATTTAATGTTTGATTTTATACCAGAATTGCTACAACACTGATAAGCTGCATGTTGAAAGTTCATAAAATCTAAATGCTAAGAGATTGATTTTCTAATGACTTTTTCAAACAGTGTTCATGCAGGGGGTTTTGTTAAAATAATGCCCATTCTGAATGTACTCCTTGGAAGTTTAATTGTAAATTCTCCTGTTTGTGTATAATTACTCATGTTTATGATTAGCTTTTGCTTTCATTGCAAGCAAGAGGAGTTGTGCTTTTACGCTTCATGAAATAACATATGATAGCCATCTCATTTCCAAGTAAATAACTATTTCTTTTCTCTTTCCAGATGTGCTTTGCTAATGGGTGTTAGCAAGCTAGATGTATTATATAGGCGCCTTCTTCTAACTAAGCTTTTCATTCAAGGCTGGGGAAGACCAGAAGACTTGAAAAGGTAGTTCTAAATTGTCTCCTACTATTCTTTTTTTATGACAGTGCTCCAGAAGCCAAGAATTCTTAGTGTACACTGAACTTAAAACAATTTGTTACTCCCTTGAGGAAAGAATATTTGCATGACAAAACAATGGTATTAATGATATTGGCATCAATATGTTTTTATGTCTAATACAACTTGAGCTTTTTAGCTTTAGGCATGGGGCTTGTGCAGGGAGTTCCATAGCATCCTAGTGGTGGAAATCTGGGCAAAAAGAATCAAAATTATATGGGTAAAATATGTGTTGCATGTACTTTATCTGTGTAATAATACCCAAAACAAATTCTTATTTTTTTTTCTTAACAGAATATTTGAGTTCAGAAAGATAATTGGAAACAGGGAAAAATGTCAGAATCTGGTTTCAAGAGATTATCCAGTGCACATTACTAAGGTATTACAAACTAATCAATATATCTGCACTCAAGATGTGGAGAGAATTGGCTAGTGGTGAGAAACTCTTGTTTCCAACTGCACCTGAACTTGGAATTATCTGGATCTGACTCAAAGTGGAATGCATTTTTTAAAAGTGGGGATGTTCATATTGCAGACATGCTCCACTGCTGCACACCAATCATAAGTATTTGCCAGTTTTGCCATAACTTTAACTCCTTATATGGGTTTGTAAAAGCGTCACAACTACTTTATATCTTCTGTGAAAGATGCATGTTAATATTTTGTAGCTACAGTAAAAATGTGGTGCTGTTTCTGTAGGTTGAGGAACAATCAGACTGTAAGATCCTTGATGGACACTTCATTTCTCCCTTGGCTCATTATGTTCCAGAAATCATGCCATCAGAAACCATCACAGCAAGGTACAATCAAGAATGCAAGATTTGTTAAGAAATTACAAAGACTGAGATGGGATATTGACTGTCATTGAAAAGGGGGCATGAAAATGTTTTGATTTAGTAAGAATTCTTTGAAATACTAAGGGTGGATGGAATTGATATACTTCATATTCTGAAGCATTAAAATTTTGCTAATAAACATGAAGCTTTGTTATAAAATATATTTTGTGTTAGTAGTTGTTCATTAGCAATATTTATATACAGCCTCTTATTTTCACAGATCCTGATGATATTTGCAATGCATTCAAAAAGTGAACAATAACATGCACCTATAATTAATTGGCTTTTGTTTAAGAGTGTTTAAAATTACCTGAAATTAATGTAGTGTATAATGTTCTTCTAAAGTGCCCCCCCTCTCTTTTGATAGCTTTCAATTTATAGTACCAAAGAGATGGAACAGCAAATACAGACCTGTGTGTATTCATTTAGCAGGCACTGGAGACCATGTAAGCATACAACTTTCCATATTTATACTTTTTCAAACCCTGTTACATGGTTGCTATTTAATTTATCCCTATGTATCACTTGTCTTTTAGCACTTTTGGAGACGGCGTACTTTAATGGCCCGTCCAATGATCAAAGAGGCATGTATGGCTTCACTGTTGTTAGAAAATCCCTATTATATCCTTTTTATTTGAGCATAATTTACTTCTGAAGTACAAATTCAGAATTCAGTCACATTCTCAGTTCTAGCACAAATACATTAGAAGAATTATATCAAAGTGTAGGAAGCATAAGCCAATTTATATGATTCCCATACAAATAGATAATTTAGAAATTCACTCAAACTATACTTGAAAAACATGGCCTGTAATTACCTGGAGAGTAAGTGGTTTTGAGTGAAACGAAATCACTGCAGGTTCTAAGTATCTGTGGAAAATTCAAAATTCATGAATCTCAAATGTAATTGCAAATGATGAGTGTTCCCCCTCTCTGTATATGTATATGTATCTATATATCATGAAAACATAACTAGATAGATAAAATCAGTTTTAGACTTAGAGGGGACAATGTCTGCATCTTTGGATACAGGTAAATTTCTGAGATGCCCTTTTGAGAACTATGTCCATGGAATATACTTTGTGCATGTCAGTGTATTTCATCACTTGCTTAAACTTTTAAATGTATAAAGATTTTAATGGAACATTTGAAACCTAGATGTATATGCCTTTCTACATTAATTTCTTTGACTTATATCTATACATGGATGCAGAAAACCTAAGGACCAGTTGTAAGTATTATAAATATATCACATTTTCCTAATACACTCTTCCTTCCATCTTTTCCAAAAATATTTTAAGAAAACAGATTGTAATGCTTACCTCATGCTATGCTTTGGTGTGTTTGGAATTAACAAGAGAGTCTTATCAGTTCTGAGTGTCCCATCCAATTACTAGATAATATAGAACCAGAATTGGAGATCCTTGAAAATGACAAGTGTATTTCACCGCTTCTGCGTGTTTTCTAACTTGATAAGAATCTGTATATGTTAAAGGACTTGAAGGAAATGGTTGCCTTGAAGGCTGGAACAAGTGGCACCATACCTCTCCAAATTCTCGGATATCAAGGAACTGGATGAATCAATCTATGGAACTTTCAATATAAAATTTGACAACCGATACCATTGTTCTACTATCTTCATGATTGCCCAGTGTTCTTCTATGTGCATATTTAAGAAAAAATATCCCTAAATAGTAGTAAACGGAATCAAAGGGTAAAATTCACACACAATGCCAGGTGTGTTCAGCAGCTATTTTAAGTATTAAGCTCATGATTGACCTGATCAGGAATTGCTCTGTGATGTCCAAACCTAGATGTAGTAGTGTTAAACAATACAGAGGTAACTTATAAGTTGTAATTAAGTTAATTATGGATTGTTTAATCAACCATTAATCTACAGTGACTAGCTTGGGTGTTATATAGCAAGTCCTGATAAAGGAGTGAAAATTTTTTAAAAGCTGCAAAAAATGTCCAACACACACTACAGGAAATCCTGGGCTAATTAACCCACAGTTTGCCAGTGTTATGTCTGAACATACCCTAGAACAGCGATGGTGAACCTTTTAGAGACCTAGTGCCCAAACTGCAACCCAAAATCCACTTATTTATCGCAAAGTGCCAACACTGCAATAAAACCTGCAAACTGAGCTTTTAGTTTAGGAAACACAACTCACAGCCAGTCCAAGCAAATAGATATATATCCTTGGCAGCGGACTGACTGGCCATGCAAAAGCTCAGACGAGTTGCAGCTAATGAGTCATGACTCATGACGTCATCGCCTGGCGCTGCTACTCCTTTCCGAGCATGCACATGGCCCCTATGTGTGCTGTTATCCAGTGCTCAGCTGCTGAGGCGATGCTGGGGTGACTTGTCTCGTGTGCCGACAGAGGGCTCTGTGTGCCCACTATGGCATGTGTGCCATAGGTTCCCCACCACTGCCCTAGAACAAGACAATAAACATAGAATTTTGAGCAATCTCTCTAATAAAACTCATGATAGTTCTCTTGCTCTTTGTTCCAAATTTTTGCCTTCAGCTAGATACAGAACTGCAAGGTAAAACTCCTAATCATTGCAAATATATTTCACAGTAGAGTGTAAAAGTGGATATAGCTTGTCATTTTTCTCATTTACCCCCATACAGGAATTGCTATGCCTTATTTCAGTACTTTCTATCTCTCCAGATTAGCAAGCATAGAAATAGTGTGCTGGATTCTGTCCATCATGACACAAACATTAACTTGTTGAGCTGTAATGTAACAACTTAGTTTGCTATAAGCAACATGGCTACTTGGAAAAACAAATCCTGTAATTTCACTTCCACTAGCGCTTTGAAACACACTTGTTCAATACTATATTATGGTATTTCTAATTCTAACCTTATAGTAATTGTGGTTACGCAGCAATGCAGCAACATATAGTCAAAGTCCACAAGTTTTCTTCTTTGGCATGTATTCCCAGAGTGTCAACATGCTGTGGCATTTTGTCCTACTGGTAGTTTTGTGAAATGTATTCCTTTTTACTGTGAAATATAGTTTGAACAGCTGTATCTTTGCTCTCAATTTGTATAGACAATTGTTACTGAGTTAATTGCTAGATTTTCTTCTATTTTAGCTTAGCATAATGTATAATATAAACCTGTCTCAGATGAAATGGGTGAATTAAATCTTATTTTCTGAAGGATTATGAGTACTGTTAATGGTTTTTTTTAAAAAAAATATGTTTGTCTTTCTTTACTTGTGAGGAAAGGAGGTCATGTTTAAAAAATGTCTCTGACCTGTTTGTGATGGGAGGAGCTCTTGTCCTAGAATCAGCGGCCCTTTTGCATTGGCTAGAAAGAGAAGGCTATGGACCCCTAGGGATGACTGGAATATCGATGGGAGGACATGTATGTAAAAACTTTTTTTTTAATTAGCAGTTATTCAGTTGAAGCTTATGTCTTTTAATTAACTATAGAGTAACAACTGAAACATTGAATAGCTTTCTAAATTAGCAGCTATTAAATGTTGCAAGATATGTAGGTAGATTTCATAATATAGCATGATGCAGATATGAAAATGGGATGTACAGATTTGGAAATACTTTTATTTTCATATATTTTATTGGTCAATAAGAGTATAATTTGGTCAAAATTCTCTTACATTTCACATTTATGTTAATAGTGGCTCTCCTTTAAAGTTATTTTTAGGAAACAATTCATTGTATATAAACTCTTAAATTGGTGTACTAGAATGATTGAGATATATTTAATTCATTTGCAACATGTCTATACTGCATACTAACTGAAGCTCTCCAGACAACTTAAAAAGATTAAAACCTTTAAAATGCATTATGAAAATCATTCATATATCAACGCACGTATATTTAAAACAATCAGCAGTGAGGACAAATAGAAGTCCTGCTAAAACATATATTTTCCTCTTTTTAACAGATGGCATCATTAGCAGTGTCAAACTGGCCTAAACCTTTACCATTGATTCCTTGTCTCTCCTGGTCTACAGCCTCTGGTGTTTTTACTACGGTAATCTATTTGTAGTTAATGTACAATGACAACTAGTTGCAAACACAGAAGATTTCAAACCATTAATATTTTGTGAATGTTAGATTTTGATGGAAATAGATACTTTAGGTTCTTGAAGTTAGAACTGTGAGGGGATATGTTTAAAAAATTGCTTTACCACTTAAGACCCTATTAAAAATCCTCAATTCCAAAAATGGCGTATGTGGAATAGGAGACAGCTGAGTAAAATTATGCCCAAAGTTCTCAAAGGCAAATGGAATTCTATGCCTGACCTTTTCCCCTATTTGTTAATGGGCCTAGTAAAGTATTTTCAAAACTGATGGAAGTGTCAGAAAATGAAACTTAGAATTGTTTAAATTATGTTTAAGTATTTTAATAGTATAGCATAAAGGTACATTGCTTTATAATTTGGTTTCTGGGATTCTGCTGTATAAGGAATATCCATCCTTTAATTTCAGGGTGTACTGAGCAAAGCAGTGAACTGGAGAGAATTAGAGAAACAGTATTATACTCACAGTGTTTATGAAGAAGAAATAATTCAAATGCTTGAATATTGTGGAGTAAGTTAATATTTTTCTTGTTGAAAAATGAAACGCTGCACAGTTTGTGAAAGATGCATTCAATGCTGCTGTACCTCTGTGCCAATTGGATCAGTGGTCTTGGGGTTGTGTTGTTATTGTTGCTTGTCACCTAATTATGATTGTTTTACTTTTGTTTTTGTGTATGTGTTTTAACCTTGTAAACCGCCCAGACAGCCTTTGGGCTATTGGGCAGTAAAAAATGTAAATAATAATGCATATCCTAGTGCTCAAACTGTTGTTAGAGTTATCTGTATGCTCATGAAAACAGCAACATTCATTAGTTTCTAATGGTAGAATGAAGGTTATCCAAAGCATCTAACAAGAAAATTGCTCATTTTGCCTTAGTAAAATGCTCAAGTTCTTATATTTCTCTACAAGAAGCTATAATTTTGGTTACATGTGTTGCAGTTTTTAGTATCAGATCTTAGAGCCATGTGTAGATTCATGGAGACTGAAACCTGGAAGATTCTTCCCCCACCCTGTGCACATCAGGTTCATCAAATATTAATTTAAACGTTGATGTATAGAATCTCACAGTGCCTTTTCCAGTGGGTCATCTATTCTGTTCCTTTTTTCTGTTGAGTTGGCAGTAGCCAGGATTCGCTTTACTTTTCAGCTAACTTTGTTAAAGGTAGCTGAACAGGAGGGGCATAGGTCAACAGCCAGGAGCATGTAGTGTTTTGCAGAAAATCCCAAACTCAATCCTTGACATTTCAGGTTGGAGGAACCTGGGAACATGTGTGGAAAGAATTCTGCCTGAGAGAGCTGCTTCCAATCAAAATGGACAGTACTGGGCTAGAAGGGCCAGTGGTGTTGACTGTATGAGGCAGCTTCGTAAACTCAGAGTAATGTTACTGTTTTACCTTAAGGTAATACAACAGGTTAGGTTAAGATGCCCAAGATCTAATGCAAGGTAGGAGACAGGAAATCGATAATTAGACCAGTATCTTGAAGGAAAAGTAAACATTTCTTAATTAGGCTTGCTGTGATAGAAAAGTGAAATGTTATTTGAAGATTTGCTGTGGGCTCTCAAATTTAAGTCAATTAATTCAGTCTAAGGCTTTCCCTCTCTGCAGAATCACTGAAATAGCTGTAGCTTAACAGAATGCTGTCTGCTCTTATGGGCCAGCTACATTGAAAAGTGTCTCAAAGTAACACTTTATCTCCAGTCAAACAATTATTTGTGTTCTATGAATTCAATGGAAGAGCCATGAAGGTTTATTTATTATTTATTTATTTAAAACATTTTTATGCCGCCCCCATCGCAACAAAGCCTCGGGGCGGCTCACAACAAGCTCACAGGTTCAAGCCAGGAAGGGTCCATCTAGTTCACAATGGTCAACCAGCAGGACATGAGTGCAGCGGCATCTTCCTATTCATGTTTCCTGTAACTCAAGTACATAGGCCTGTTGCCTTTGATAGAAGAGATAGCTTATAGCCATCAGGTCTATTAGTCATTGACAGCCATATTTTCCATGCATTTGTCCAGCCCTCTAAGACCATCCAAATTGAAGGCTATCACTACATCTTCTGGTAATGATTTCATAACTTAATTCCATGCTATGTAAAGAAGCATTTTCTTCTATCTGTCCTGAATCTTGTACCAATCATCTTCATGGGGCAACTTTAGTTTCTAATATGATAGGAGAATAAAAATGTATTCTTATCTCTTTATTCCACATCATGCACATTTTTGTACACCTGTATGATGTTTCTCCTTACGTGTCTTCTTTCTAAGCTAAATCTTAGATGTTATAACCAGTAACTAGCTCAACTTTCCTCCCTTCTGGGTTTCTTAACACTGTTATGAGTTCATCATGAGAAGAGAAACAGATGCATGCAAAGATCACCATCTGTCTTTCCCCCCTCAAATTGAACTTGTACCCCTCTATCACTATGCTGTTCCACTGGGAAATAAGTCTAGAAAGAGTTGGAGAAATAACAGCAGAAGGAAAATTCTGCATGTTCTTTTTCAGACATCATCCTCTCATTGGTTTTATGTAGCACTGAAGAAAAGAAAGGGCAGTAACTAGAAGGGCTGGCAGGTTACCCTTGAGACCAGCTTGACAGCCTCCTCAGTCTGTAACATTGGCTGCTATTGCCTGGAATTTCTAGACCTTAATGGTAGTAGAGAATGACTGTATTTGCTTTGCTTTGCTGCTGTTACAGTTCCTATAGTTAGGAAGCCTTTGCCTATCAAGTAAGCCATCTATACAGAACTGTTTAGGTGGGTTAACTTCTGAAAAATAGAAGAAAATGGAATCAATTTTTCGCTTACTGTATCAACAGTCTTCCATTAGATTGGGTGGGAAACCTGACCTCTTCCAGATGTTTTTGACTACAGCTTTTCTCAGCTTCAGCCAACATGGCCAGGCCATGGAAAAATAAAGTACTGCAAAGTTTCCATCCCATGCCACTGTTTAAACACACTTTTTAAATTAATAGTTGACTATGTAACAAAGTTCAGATAAATTTCTGATCTTGAACAAAATTTTATAGCTCATTAAAACTTTGCAAGTGATAGAGATCAACTTAGATTCCCCAGACCATAATGTTAATCAGGGTTAATATAAATCACCTAGAATTAACTGTGAATTTACTTTGTGTGTCTTTCTTTCAATCACTACTTTTAAATCTGCAATTTGTTAATTTCTTGTTAAACATCCTCCTTTTCCATTTTAAAAATGAAGTATAGTCTGTTCCTTGTTTCAATACGAATCAGTAGTACTCTCAGTAGCTATTCTTAGCAATTACGGAAAAGCTAAGCTCTCTCATAATCCAGACAAGATAATAGAATATATACAACAGCCAAGAAGGACCATGATTTATGATAGGAAGAAAATGCTTCAAGGTGAGTCTGATATTCTTTGCAGTGAATCTTATGAATGCATTCTCATTTGTTCAATTTTACAATAAGAGAAAAACCTTTTTTTCAGGGTGTGATTCTATGTAAAGGTAATAAATAGGGGCACATTTGTAAGGTAGCTTCACTACTGGACAGTGAAAAAGATGCATCACTTTGTTGTCTTCCTTTCTATTCACATGATTTGATAAGTGATTCTTAGTAGAAGTTAACTTATTAATGGCAGAAATGCAAGACTTAATACTGATCATGCTTTACAAAAATCCTTGATTATTTAATGCATATTCAGGAAGTATATTGAGTTAAAATGTAAGAGTTGTCCTACTGCATTAAAATTGTGGAAGTCAAATTATAAATTTAGGTGTATTTTTTGTAGTCAGAGGGAACTCTAAAGTGATATTAGGTAACTGATAATTTATGAGGAAATTGAACATTATGCAAAAGTGCATTAATTGAATAGGTATTTTTATTTAGACAGATTCATTCAAGATGGGACAAGACTTTGTTAAAAATTCTCCCAGCAGTGTGGACAGTTTGAGCAACCTGGATCTGAATTCCAGTATGCTGAACCTGGATAGCAGAAGCAAAGTTGTGTCTTCGGAAGCTGGCTACTGCCTTAGTGCTAACAAAAATACTCTAAGTGCCTCAGCGGAAGGAATGTTAGTGCAAGAGGCACCAAACATACAGTGCATAAACCAGACTTTTTCAACCAGCAGCAGTAGCAATAAAGACTTTTCCAGTGAGCAGAAACGTCTGATAAGTGGAAAAAGTAGCAGTTTACAAAGAGAATCTCTAATGTTCATGAAAGGGGTGATGGATGAATGTACCCATGTAGCTAACTTTTCAGGTATATACTCTGAGTTTTGAATTTGTTTTTTTCTTATTTTTACCCTTTGAACAGTCTGCTTTAATTTCTGTCTTGCTAAGGCATCCCATCCAAGAGCATGCTTCTTCTAAACTTGACTTCTTTCCTTTCTTCCCTCTTATCTCTAATTGGCTAGTCTGCCTAGCAGGACTAGGGATGTAGATGATATGGAAGTTATGTAATGTTGTAAATGAGAGATCTTTGAAGGACAACATGATCACTAACAGCATAAGTCTGCACTTTGCTGTGTGAAGGAAAAATAATACAGGCTTGAATGTGGGGGAAAGTGCATTACTATAAATCATGGAGAACTGTGATGCAGAGCAAGTCAAAACAATGCAGCTTCAGCACATAAAGCCAGATATGGATGGGAGGTATGGCCAAGGCAGGAAGTGGGATACTGGGATCTGTGTTTATGGAAGCAGGGCTTGCCTGTTGCTGCCAAGTTGAGACTGCAAAGCATTATTGTTACATGAAAATCCTGAATACCTATACTGATGATTCTAATGAAACCTGACAAATCCTCAGCAGAGTAGTAAACTTGCTTGAAATGACAGGGTATTATCATAAACCCTGTCCTATTACTCCATGAGTCCATGAAACAGAGGAAAGGACATGGAGCACATGAAACAATTGCATATTACAGGATGATGTTGACTTGTACCAAAGTAGGGGCAGAATATTTTAAAGTGATCCATACAGTTGAGCTACAGTAAAACCTTAGATTGCGAGTAACTTGGTCTGTGAGTGTTTTGCAAATTGAACAAAAAGTTTTTCTAAATTTTAACTTGATAAACACGCGATGTCTTGCAGTACGAGTATTATGCGCACTTTGCCTGCCGAGTGTCATGTCAAAACTGAACGCCGGTTCTTCTCTCTCTTTCATTGCGGGTGTGAGTTCAGCATCATCCCCCCCCCGATCACACCCGTGATTGTGCCCACCTCCCCCTGAGCGCACTCGTGATCGCGCCTATCTCCCCCCCCAGCGCGCCCACTTCAAATTTATGTGATTAAAAAAAAAAAAGTCACAGAACAGATTAACCTTGAATCTTATGGGGAAATTTGCTTTGATATACAAGTGCTTTGGATTACAAGCATGTTTCCAGAACGAATTATGCTCACAGTCCAAGGTTTTACTGTATAAGTGGCTTTATTTTTTACTAGAAGTAAGAATGCTGGTTCCATGTTCTGAAACACTCACCTATAAGCATTTTTTTTGCCTTTCTGTCCATTTTTAATGTAACGTAATGGTAGCTGTTGGAAATGATACTTGGGCAGTAAAAAAGCTACAACAATTTAAATAGCTCCCATCTGCTGAAGAACTATTTTTGAATCCTAATATAACTAATGCTAGCTAAGCTTTCTCTTCTCCAAAACTAAAGCTAGTATGTTTAGCTTCAAAGAACTTTTTATTTGTTCTCAGTTCCAGTTGACCCAACCATGATCATCGTTGTTCAAGCCAAGGAAGATGCTTATATTCCAAGAACTGGTGTACGTAGCCTTCAAGAAATATGGCCAGGGTGTGAAATCAGATATCTGGATGGAGGTCATGTTAGTGCCTACCTCTTCAAACAAGGATTGTTCAGGTTTGGCATTTATAATAAGAACAGAAAATAAAAAAAATCACCTTTAAATGCTAGTAGTTCTAGGATATACTTGGATTTTTGGTAAACACTAAGTGTACATGCCTTTTGTGATGGTGCTTCAAATTCCAAGCTGTCAGCATGGAAGTTTACTTTAAACACAGTACTGCCAGAATATTTTGGATCACAGGGCCCACTTGAAATTTGGAGAATATAGTGTGGGTGCAGTCACAAAATGCTGGGGAGAGCATTCAGAAAAGTTCTAAGGTGGGCAAGAAAATTGGTGAGGCTAAAGACAGATAAATCTCCTAAATTCAGAATTATTTATTTGAACACATATTAATAGGAAGATTGCTCCCAAATCCATTTTACCTAGCTGTGCTTACCCTATGCATCTAGCACACACAAACTATAATCCCTAACATTGCCAGTATTTGCAAAGGGCACCCAAAACACATCACATCCAGAAAACAGATAAAGAACCTTGCCCGTCTTTCTTCTCAATCGTCCTTCTACTTTCAAGTTACTGGGTAGTGGTGGTCACAGTGTGCCTTTCTTTTTAAAAAAAAACTTTTCAACAGGTAGGGAGGGTACATGTCAAAACCAAGCTCTGGCCTTTAATAAACAGTTTCATTTCCTGAGGATGCCTCTTAGCATTGATAAGGTATTCTGGGAATATAAAGATGCTTGCTGGAAGGCCAGTCTTGGCATGCTGTACATTCCAGATAGCAGATTACAAGTAAGATTCAGGTTTCACAGGGTACCGGGGGAGCGGGGGGAGTTCATGGGCACCAGAGATCCCAGTGAGCTAAGCTATGATTTTGCAGTATGGGAACAGAGAGAAAATGAACCTGGGGCTCAGCCTTTGCCACCCCTCCTTTGTTCAAACAAAGCATATTTTAGATAAGCAAGCATTCTTCCCTAATCTGGATGTAAAAATAATGGATGTTACTCCCAAATTACAGAAAATAAAATAACCCCTGCCAACAACTTGAAAACAAAATAGTATGCAAAATGGAGGGCTTCTTAGCCCTTTGAGTGTTACACAGCTTCCCTGGATGCCATTTCTTGCCTGTGTGCTTTATTTTCTTTAATTACAGGTTTCTTTTTCAGAATTGTAGTTAAGAGGTGTGGCCCACAAAGTGGCTATTCAGGGGGTAAAAATGTCCCCCCCAACCCCCCGGCAAGTTACTCACACTTTTTGTAAATATTAGCCTGGAAATAAAGATAGAACCCCAAACTTAAATGTCATGGGTTTGAAAAGGACCCCTTCTGTACCATCTGGTGCAAATATAGCTAAACCATAATTTAAGGCTGGAAAGGGAGGGAGGAAGGAGAGGAGGAAGTTTTTGCAGCCCCAAATCCAGCACTGCAGTTCAGCAAGACCATTGTATTCTGTCTATCCTTTCCCTTCATTAAATCAGTGTTGCTGAAATGTAGCTGAACTGCTAAATATATCTGCCTTTTCAATAAATGGTTATACGAAACTCTTGCTGATATAAAAATGATATATGAATATTTATATTTCCTCTGTCCTGAAGACTGGCAGGAGTAATATCTTAAAATAGATACAACTACCCAATTAAAATGTTGAAAGCCTTGACCTGCATACTATATTTCCTTTCTTTCTCTGAACTCAGATATCCCATCCTGGATCTTCTCCAGTTGAAGGATACCTGTGGTGAATGCTTATGTAAATTCTTATATTTTTAATGGAGAGATGATAGAGAAGCTAAGAATGCCTTCTGTAGTTTACTAAGAGGGTAGAAGTGATCTGACAAGTATGATGGGCCTTATTTATTGATTTCTATCTGAGAGCCTAGTCACTGATCATAAAACAAGTGCTAACAATTTTGTTGGAACAGTGAACTTGGGCTAGTGACCTATACATGATGATTATTCCTTCATTAGTACAGCTAATCTTCTCTCTCTTCTCTTTTAGACAAGCCATATATGATGCATATGAACGCTTTCTTCAGAAATATGCTGTATAGTCCTTTTGAACTACTATCTCGTATTGTTCTGATCTTTTATATGGATGGTTATGTCAACATTATATGGAGAACAAGCCTATTATAGATTGAATTAAAAGACACCAAACAGATACCACTTTTCAACAGTGATGCATACCTAAGGACATAATTAACAAAGGCTGATTTCAGACTTGAATTAATTTATACAACACATGGTTTTAGCAGAAAGTTGAGTGTTAGTTGAGTCTGCAAAAATATACTCAAAAACTTGAAAAGAATACAGATATCCATTGAGGAGAGACCAATACAATATTGAAAGCTATTTAAATTGGAGTTCGTATAAATTTCAGTATCTATTATTTTGCGCCATATGCTAGGAATTTTGCTAGGAATTCAAAGATGCCGCATTAAGAGAGCACAACGATAACATTCTTACACAGAGGAGAAATGAACTAGATTTAAATAAATTAACAACTTGAAAGATTCTTGTCAGTAGAAATTTTCTTAATACAGTGTGTGGACCCTAATTCAAGTCGTAATGCAAAACCAGGTTATACCCACAATCTTCTGTCTAGCCCGTCTTTCTAGGTTTCTACTTCAATTTGAAAAATGAAGAAAAATCCATAATTGGGTCTAAAGCAACGATTTGTTCTGTTCAGCTTTAATCATTTACAGTAGGAGTGCTATGCATGCGCTTATTTCAAAATGGAGTGCTGGACAGAGGTACATACTTCTTTCCAGAAGCAATCATAGAACTGTTTATTGGTTGAACTGTTATACCTGAAATGAAAATAAAAAGTATGGAGCATTCTATATATGTTGCATCTATTAATACTGTTTTAATCTTGGTTTTCTTGAACATTTCCCTTAAACTATTTTACCTTCAGTCACAGTAGCAAAATATTTTATATTTTATTTTGATTCCAGTACTTCCGTACTTCAGTGATTGACTCACAAAAATCCACAATTCTTTCTGTCAAAGTGGAATATTCCTTCTGTAAAATAGATAGCTCAGTGTCTTCCAATTCAAGTGGTAAAATTTGCTATTAAGGATAGTGATTTTTACTCGATTGGGTTATATCTAGAGAAGTGTGAGTAGAACCCTACTTCTACTTTCTGCTTGAGTTTTTCTGGGTCTTTCATGTGGCAGCCCTCTGCATCTCCAAAACTTTCCTGGGAGTGCACCCATGGTTGCATTAGGATAGGGAAATTGGCAGAAATGGGAGAATTTGCCATGTATAAGCAGAAGAATCTTTCTGCTGGTGCAAGACATGTAAGCCAATTTATAGATGGTACAAAATCCTATAACACTGCACAAACTTATTTGAGATTGGAAGTGATTTATACATTGTTTAAAGTTGAGTGAAGCAATTCAGTGTCTTAATGTAACAGGTAAACATGTTTTTAGATTTTAAAGTAATGAATATTAGATGTATTCTCATTAACTTTACTAAATATACATGCCAAATTTTTGAACCAAAATTATGCATGTAAATACTACCATATTTGATTTGAATAGTAACAAGAAAATATGCTCTTCTTTAAATTGGATTTTTAAAAAATGAACTGTGCAAGTGAATCATGCCTAATTAACATTGCTGCAATTGACCCTTACCTAGAATTGAAGCTCATTGAGTCTAGTGGAATTTCTGAATGCATAGAATCATACTTTTAAGGCCTTTTGAAAAACACTTTGTATCTTTGAGAAACTTCTTTGAAAGAGCCTAAACCTGAGGGCCAGACCTGTCAAATCCAGAATTTTCAGTGAACTTCCTGATTTCTCAGTGGACATGTCACACTAAAACTGCTTCAAGTGGAATCCCAAATTTAAATCAATACTGCTAAAGTACAGGAAAAGAGCATTGTTTCTTGAGAATGTTTGAAGGTTAAATTTTGGGATGCTTTAATATTAAAATATTATACCTTAAAACTCCAGTGAACTCATTCCTCTGTTCAGTTATGGATATCTTGCAAAGCATTTTTCCAAAATTCACATCCATGTGCTGTGCTTGTTGATGGCTTCTGGGGCATTATTCTTTAGGACAGACCTCTGACACAATGGTACTAATCTAATTGACTTGAAAGAGTTTGAAAATGATACCTGCTACTAACAGTAAGCTATCAAATATTAATTTTTACTGAAGACACAAAAATTCATTGATTAAAATGTTAGCGTTTGAAATTTTTAGCAGAAGCAGTTCTTCTGTATTTGACTTAGGACTCAATCCTATGCATATTTAGAAAAAACACCTGTAGTTTCTAGAGTTCCCCAGCCTGCCATGCTGGCTGGTGAATGCTGGAAATTGTGAAACCTTTTTTATATTTAAGTGTTTATCGGGTTCTGGCCTTTAGAGATTTAAGGAGAGATTTAAAACTGTCTAAATTTAATTAAATTTAGAAGGCTATTGTATGTGCTGTAAATGTCTTCTTTGAGGATTAGTGAATATTCTTCTTGACAAAAAATATTACATGGCCTTACCTTACTATAGTCAAGTGTCTCTAACTCTCTAACTTTGCACATTTTAAAGGCGTTACTAATGGTGTCCAAATGTTGAATGAAAATTTGTAATTTAAATGAAAATGAGTTTAATTCTGTATACTTGTTTCCCAATTACATTTTATATTTTCTAATAAAAAGTTTGTAAAACTGTCTAACATTTTCATGCTACTATTCTGTATTGTGAAGTATCTTCCTATATATATTTCCTATATACATTTGTCTAGTCATTATGTCCTAAAGGAAAAACTGAATTGGATAGTCAGACCAAACCCTAGTATACTTATACAACTGTATTTCCAAATCAGTTCTTGAGTTTTATTACATTTTGTAAATGGTAGCATTTTATATGGAAATGCTTGACTGCTTTCTAGACCACCTTTCCCTAAAACTTGAAGTACATAAAAGTTTAAAACACATATCCACAGATATAAAATATACTAAGTGTTCCATAATGATTATATATTACAGTAACCAGACATTACCAATATTGTAAGCACTTTAAAAATACAGACAGCTATGAGTATGTTACATCCTTAGTACAAAGATGTTCATAGTTACTCAATTACAAAAGACTGCTTCTTTGTATCTTACCAAAGTGGGCTTTAGATAGATCATATGGAAATATGAAATTATGTAACATATTCCTAAAATCTACATTAATGGTACAATTTGTAAAACTTGGATCAAAATACTGTTTTATATCTTAAGGTTATTCTGTGTTTAAGAAGAGAATTTTAATACAGTATATATTTAAACTTTTGAACTGGTTGTCAGAATGCCTGAATGACATTTAATTACATACTATAGTCATTTTAAAAATATCATTTGCTTTGAAAGTATACCTCTATGCATTTTGAGATCATTTCTCATCTCGTATTCATTTAAAAAAAATGTACCATTTTAAGTGATAATGGAAGAACTGCTCATAAAAAGAAACTACTTTGTGGAAGCAATTTCTGGAAACTTCCTAATTTAGGTTAATGGAAGAGATCTTGACCTTCCTCTTTATGGCATCCTTTGAGGTTCAGGGATATGTGTTGCCCCCCCCCCCCCCCACGTCTTCTTTTCTCAAATCTGAGCATGCCCAGATCTCTCAGTCTCTCCTCACAGGGCAGTGTTTCCAAACCCTAAATGATTTTTGTTGCTCTCCTCTGGACCCTTTCTAAATTTTCTGCATCTTTCTTAAATCTTGGAGCCCAGAACTAGATGGAGTATTCCAGATCTAATCTTCTCAACTGTGCAAGAAGGTGATGTATTCATTGATCACCTAACAGCTGCAACACTGGTAGAGGGCAGTTTGTTCCCAGCACACCACCAGAAGTTTCCAGTGCAGGTACTGAATGAAATTGTTCCACCTTTCCCAATAATGGAGAAGGTTTGGTTCAAAATAGGGGTTTCCATCCAGTGTAAGAGGAGAGAGTTCAATGGAAGAAACTTCTGCACTTTATGTCTTCTTTCAGAGAAAAATCTGGGATTAGGCTGCAAAACAGCTGAGAATCCTCACCACTGTTCCTATGATGGCAGCAGAAGTAGAGTGCACACAGGCAATACTGTTCGTTTGAAATGGGTTGCTTAAAGACTCTTTGTTTTCAACCACCAAACAATTTGTAAGGCAGAAAAATGGAGGGAGTGTTCTGCTGTAAATACTTTTTTCTTCTCTCCTTTCACTCCTTGTTTTAAACACCTTTTTGAAGGTTGAGTCTTGCTGGTAAGTTTTGTTCCAAAAACTGGATAAGCTGTCTGCAAGGTAGCTTATCCTTCTTTCTATAAATTGAAGCGCTTTAAGTGCAGAATCAAATAAGGAACAGTAGAGGCCAAATACCTCCGCCCCCCTTTCAGCACAAAACCAAGTGTGACAACATGTGTTCCTTCTGAAGCAAGACAGGAGCCTATTCTACAGATTAGTTGCACACTAAGAACTTGAAATTGAATCACTTGAATGCTATATGATGGGCTCTGCAGGAGAGGAGGATGGACGGTAAAGATGTAGCTGGCCTTGCCTCTGGTGAAGCAAACTCCAGTGGGCTCTAGTCAATACTAGTTACAGCAGACATGAATGATAGTGAGAATATATCAGGTTATTCTTGGGTTATTTGACAACTGCTGTAAAGTGAAATGGACAATGAAAAAGTTAGACAAGAGGAAAATTGACTCATTTGAACCGTGGTGTTGGTGGAGGCTCCTATGCATTCCATGGACAGCGACGGTGATGAACAAGCAGGACATAGAGCATATTAAACCGGATCCGTCCCTACCCAGCAAGATAACAAAGCTGAGACTCGTGTATTTTGGCCACGTTTGGCAACCAAGCTTATTAGAAAAAGATACAATGCTTGGTAGGCTCAGCCGCAAGAGAAAACCAGCTCGTTAAAGAGCGAGGTTAGACTCCATCAAAGAGGATGGTGGGCCAGAGCAGAGCTCAGCTGAAAGAGGTGGCACGAGATCGAAATGTGGCTGGGCCACAGGATCGCTTATAGTCGGACACGACTAAACAGCTGAACAACACAGAGTGAAAGAGAAGAATTTCCTTCACTGCTTCAAGTAGATCCCCAAACCTCTTTGACTTTCTCAAGTTGTAATCAGCTCATTGCAGTTTTCTACCCCTACACCCTACAGAATTATTTTGCAGATGATTCGCGTGAACTGCAAGAATGCTGCACGTGCTAGATGCTCATTATTTAACTACATAGTTCGTGGGTGCGGGCGGCGTCCAGTCTATTAACGCTCCTCCACAGACATTGGGCATTTTTGCTCCAACCAGGCGCGGATCGCTCGAAGCTAGCCAATAGCAGCGTACATCTGCCGCTTCCCGACGACTACAAGCCACGCCTTTAGTCACGCCTTCTGTCCGTTCCCAGCAAGAGCAAGTGGGTGCACAAGGAAGGTAGAAGAGATGAACGCCAGGCCGTTGTGATGTCATAACGTTACGAAGAGCTGGGGCGGCTCCGCCTCTTTACGGCGACCGCCTCCGGCTGCCCTGCTCTTCTCCTCTTCTTCCAACCCCTCCTTCGACTCCCGCCCCCGGGCGCTGTCCCCGCCCTCTTCCCACCCACCTACTTCGCTCTCCCCCACCCCGGCGCAAGGAGCACGCACGCGGCGGCGGTGACGGAGCCCTGCCGAACTTCTTCACCAGGCCTGCGAAAAGTGTTCGGCGGCTCTTGCCCCCTTCTCGTCGGGAACCCTCGGCTCCTCACGGCGCGCGGCACGCGCTGCCGCCGCTCCTCCCCGCCACTGGGCGGCGGCGGTTGAACCACCCGCTGGGGTGAATGAACGGAGCCGCCCCCGGAGGCCACGGTTCGGGCGGGGGGGCGCTTCCCCGCCAGGCGCAGCCTCCGTGGGGCGGGCCGTCCCCCCCCGCAGGAAGCTCCACTTAGGGGCCCGCCGCTTTCCCTCTTCCCTCCCTCCCTCCCTCCCTTTCTACGGCAGGCCCATAGGGAACGGAGGAGGAAGGGCGTGCAGGATCGTGGCGCGGCCCCTTCTCGGTATGTCCACAGCCGCCCCGCAGCCACAACTTCGGGGAGCGGGAAAGAGCAGTGGCGGGGCCCGGTTGCCCGAGGAGAACCACGGGGAACAGCACCTGCTTCCTTCCGGCCAAGTAACTGAAGCCCTCCGAGAAAGCGGCTCCGGTGAAGGACAACAGCAGCAAGAGGACGACGACGAGGACAGCAGTGACAAATGGCAACGGGGGCGGCAGCCACAGGCTCACGTGGTCGAGGCACCCCCGCCCAAGCAGAACCCCTGGACCCGCTGGAAGCCTCCCGCCGTGGCGTCTGGCTGTAGCTTATCTCCTTCCAGTGCCTCTGCCGGCAGCGAGCTCGCCCCGCAGGACCCGGGTGAGGAGCGGGGTATGGAAAAGGGGGTTGCCAAGCCCAAGGACAGTGCACTGGTCAGTGGGGGGGGGGGGGGGACGGAGCCCGGTGCGGTGCTGCTGCTGCTGGTGGCGTGGCGGCGGATCGGGCTCAAGTTTCTTTAAACTGCTCCCCTCCCTTCTCTTTTGGTCGCAGTAGCGACCCCAAGTGACATGGGTTTTGGAGACAGGCGTGCGCTTGCTTGTCCAACCAGTGGGTGCCAGGGAGTTTGCGGAGTCCTGCTTGCTCTTTCTAGTATGTCATGCATGGTCAGATTAGGCAAATAGGAGTGAAGGGGTGTGGCCTGTCTTGGAAATGTTTTATGAGAAGGAAGGTGAGCACGATACAGATGAGGAGAAACCCAGCTTTTAGTTGATGATGGTGTTGTCTGAAAGGGGGAACGGCCAATTTTATGTTGGGTGGGGAAGATAAAATCGCGCGATGTTAAGTACCTAGTGATTCATCTTGCTCGAGTGCAAGGAGAAACACTTCTATGGGTATTGTAGAAATCAGCGTGTGTTGTTTTGATTTTGTGTGGTGCTGCTTTGTTGGCTTGCGTTACATATGAATATCAAATTGTTCACTTCTGGGTAGGAAATAGTCTCTCACTTGCATATAAAATAGCTGTGTTTGTGTCTGCTGTGCTTGTGTGTACTCTGCAGTTATAAGCAGTTATAGAGTTATTAGACTTGTTTCTATATGAAATGGTGCTGTTGGGTATATTTTAATTCTCAAGACAGTCCAGTTTGGTAGTACATGAAATAGGTTGTACTGGGTGTTTCGATGCTGTGTATATTTTGTATCAGTTTTATATACAATCAATTTTAAGAGTACAATAAGAAGTCATGAATTACTGACTTTTTGTCTTTTGTTTTCTGACAGTGCAGTTAACTTCTAGTTGTCTTCATTTTATTGAATCAAAAATTTCAATTCATAATTCCATAGAGTACATCACAGAATACTCTGATAGAAGCAAATTCAAGCTCTACTTGATGGAAATGGCTAAACCAATAAACCGAAGCTTTGAAATAATTTCAGTTAATAGTAGTTAGCATTGTTGGCACTTGTAGCCATAAATTCAGAAAAATCTGTCTTTTGATTTCTTTGAACTAAATATTTGTGCTAATAGGTTTCTTTTATGATTTTTAAGTAGCAATCCCTGTACTCATCTGAGAGTGATTTTCATTGAAATCAGAGGGATTTCTGAGTAGACAGCTATAAGATTGCACTATCAGATCATGAGTAAGCATGTATACGTTTTGTACTATTAGATAACTATCAAAAGTCGTAGACATTGTCATGTG